TATATTAGGTCTACGTAATTTTTAAGTCTAGTTAATTTTTGTGTCTAGTTAATTTTTAAGTTAGTATATTGTATATAGGTAGTTTTTACGTCTAGATATTACGTCTACCTAATTTTTAGGTTTAGATTTTAGGTACTAACTTAGTGTACACGTACCTATTTTTACGTACTTTTAGGTTAATAATTAATAACCTAATATTTCTAGGTATTAGTAGTTAGGTTTACTAAGTTCTAAGGCTTTATTTACTAAGGTTTTACAAAACCTAGCTTATTATAGCTTATACTTAAAAGATTTATTTAATTTTTTTTTAGAAACTTATATATTAAATATCTTAATTACTTATTTATAGAACTCTTATTAAGAGCTTCTATATTAAATAGTAACTAATAATTTAGTTTTAATATACTATAAAAAGTTACTTTATAAGTAGTTTTATATTAAGTAGTAATTTAAATAATTAATAACCTATTTTACTATTTCTAGCTCTATTTTCTTTTATAAATAGCTAATTTTATATTCTAGTATATTCTAGAATATATAAAAGCTTTATTAAGATTACTATCTATATATACCTAATAATATTCTATTATCTAGTTCTATTTATTTTTTTACCTTATTTAAGAGCTTTTATAAGAGTTTTCTTTAATAAGTAACTAAGAATCTATATAAACTAGTGTTTATTAAGAAACTAGATAAACCTCTTTAGTATAAGCTCTAGAGATTTATAAGTACTATATACTAGAGCTCTAAGGGCCTTACGCCCTTAGCCTAGAGGTCTACTAAAGGTGGGCCGACAGGAGCTCGGATAGAAATACCCGTAACAGCTTACTAAATACCTTCCGCTGCTCCGCGATTGCCTATAAATACAGCGCCTTATTCGTTGAAGGAATTGGACTTATTTAACTAATTAACTCGTCTTCTTACGTAACTCGTGTAATCTACGCGCACTCGCTATGTCTACTACTTCCTTACTCGTGCTGTTGCTCTCTGAGTTTAGGCTTTTCTTTTCGCTCGCCAGACGGCTTCTTCTCACAGAATCGGCTCAATATGATCAGCTGGTGTACCCTTACTTCTCTTACTTATCTATCGCAAGTCCCTATCCTAGGAGGCAATGCGCAACCCAATAGTTCTCAGCTTATCGACATCGTTCCTAGGCGCGAGGTTCTCTACGTTGGCGGACAATACACAAACACTACAGCAAGTCTCAATTCCTATAGTTCTACGCGTATCTCATATAGGCAAACAGGACCACGTTACCAATTCGACATCACTGGCTATCGTAGGGCAGATTTATGTCGAGAAGCTGTCTCCACACCCGGCCCCGGCGAATTCGCCAATTCCTATAATCTTCATTGCAGGCGCAGCTCAGACGGGTGCTAACTTCCTTGATACCCCAGACGGGCGGCCAGGATGGGCATCCTATTTCATCTCCAAAGGTCACACTGTCTACCTCTCAGACCAGCCTTCACGAGGCCGTTCCTCCTGGTTTCCTGGGCAGGGAAGTATCGGGTACATTGGCTCCCCCGATTCTGTATCTGATATCTTTACCGACGCAGCAAACAACGGCAATCAATGGCCACAGGCGAAGCTTCACACGCAATGGCCTGGCACCGGTCGCATGGGTGACTCAACTTTCGACACTTTTTACAGGAGCCAGATGCAGTACCAAACTGATCGCTTCATAAGCGAAGAACAAAACGCCCAGGCATATTCAGCTCTAGTAGACATCGTAGGTGATTGTTATATCATTAGTCACTCGCAGGCGGGTGCATACGGTTTGTCTTGTCCAGCACTTTTGACTCGCGAAAGTGAATAACAACTGAGTAGGCTGGAGGGTTGGAGATATGCGATCGGACCTTGTCAAGGGTATTGTCCAGCTCGAACCGTCTGGTCCACCGTTCACGCTGCGCCCACCGTTTGGAAACGACCCGGCTTTCGCTTTCGGCCTCACCGACCTCCCAATCGGGTACGAACCGTGTGCAAACAAGAATGCCAGAAACATCGAAACTATCATCGAGCCAGCAATCGACGCCGACCACAACGAGTGCATTATGCAGAACTCTCCAGCTAAACAGTTGACAAATTTGGGCAAAATCCCAGAACTTGTTATTACTGGTGAAGCATCGTTCCATGCGCCATACGATTACTGCACCGTCAAGTATCTGGAGCAAGTCGGCGTAGACGTGGAGTATGCGGATCTAGGGAAGGAGGGCATTCATGGTAACGGACACATGTTCTTCATGGAGAAGAATAATCTCGAGATTGCAGAGCGGGTGTATCAGTGGCTTGAAAAGCACTAGCAAACGCAAGGTAGAGAGTCTGTAAATGTCATGTTTATAACTTCTTGATAGCTACAACGTACGCTCTCTTAATGCTGTATGAAGTTGTATCTTGGCATACTAGTTCTCTGGCCACATACCAGTAGGAGTTAAGTTAAAGGTGCTGGTGGAGAGTGTACAGGTGTGTTTCAAGGTAAGAGTGAGACGGTGTATTACTAAACATAATCGTTAGACATTGTTCTGCATCTATATCAGGTGCCCTACTATTGGTCGGTTGGCGTCCAGAGGCATCATTTATTGTTGACATGTTACAGAGCTGCGAATAGAAGGAAAGTAATAATACACACTTGGTTTCTAGTTATAACAGCCGAATTTCAAGCCTGGATGGGTTTAGTCAAAGGTCTTTTGGTTAAGAGAAATCCCGAAGTTTATGCGAGCTTGTGCGGCACAGAGCTCGTACTCAAGGCTCGCCTACGGGCTCGTGATGTATTGGGGAGGCTCGCGATTCAAGCTTGCGATTGAGCTCACTAATGAGCTTATCACGTCGATCATCGCGATGATGATGACGATGATGGCTGCTTGAACGCCACCATTGTTAGTGTCGGAATTATCGTCACGAGCTTCACGGATTTGCCTTCATCAACATTCACTTCCTATCACGAAACTGTTCATCCGCTCACTGTGTTGGTTAGCATACCAAAGGCTACATAAGTTCAATAAACAATTGTTCTCAATTTGTAGTCATTTCGTCCACTTTTTGGCAACATTTATATTGTAAATACGCGTTTTGCACAGGCACAGCCTCAATACATCTCATTGGCGTTCGTCCCACGCTTTCTACTAGGTTAAGAGCCTGTCGCTGATCTGTGCAGGATCCCCGCAATCCGGTCTTCTCCATAACTCGCTAACATTGACGATGTCGATCAGGGTATTTGTGTAACAGCACCATGGCTATCTACACTCGGGTGCCCGCGCGAAGAGCGCTTCCATATGCAATACAATGATATGCTTTACCAAGCTTTCGCGGTGTGCTTGTGTGTCGTTCCACGATGCTCTTCTCAAGCCGTGTGAGCGTGCAGTTACTGTAAGAAGAAGATGTCCGATTAACCTATTCACAATCATAGATAGGTGATGTCTGGGAGAATCATAAAGCAAGCCCTTTGGAGTTCTCACGTATTCAATCTGAAGATCAACTGGTTCGTTGCAGGAATCAATATCCGAAGATTTCCCGATTTTCCGGAGGCACAACATGAAATCCTAGATGCTACGTTGAAATACAAATTCTCGGGTCCCCAAGGCTTCCGTACACGAGGTGGGATGTAATTACAAAAGTACATAAAGTTTACTGATCTTGACCAACATAACACTTGGGTATAACGCTGAAAGACACTCTCACAACACAACAATGGCACCGACGATAGTATCAGACGCTATTGCTGGTTTCAATCCTCTGCACTTTTCTGTGCTAGTGACTGGAATCATTGTAGCCCGGGTAAGCTCTAGTCGTGTATCGTACTCTTGAGAACCAAGCTTATGGTGTCAGTTCCTCTATGTCAGTCTTACATGCCCAACTCGACACTTGCCAGGGCCATGGTATACACGCTTCACGCATCTTCGCCTCAAACGCGCAGTTGTCACTGGTCAGAGGATCTTCTATATCGACAATCTTCACAAGCAGTATGGGCCTATTGTTCGACTTTCGCCAAATGAAGTCGCAGTCGCAGACCTCGACGCTTTCAAAGAGATTCACAAGATTGGTACGAAGTATCTCAAGAGTGAATGGTACCTTCGCCTGGCGAATTTCCCGAAAGCGGGCGTATTTACAATGCTTGATCCCCGCGAACATGGCCCAAGGAGGAAGCTTCTCTCGCGATCGTTCAGCAGAACCTACCTAGTAGAGCACTGGGAGTCGGTCGTGAGAGAAAAAGCACTTCTTGCGGTGCAGAAGATCAAGGTGGATGCGCAAAACAGCAGCGCTGATATCTACAATTGGTGGATGCTGCTCGCTTCCGACATCAGCGCTCATTGCGCTTTTGGCGAGTCGCTCGGCATGCTGGAAGCTGGCCATGTGAGTGGTTATCGACAGCACACAGTCCCCGCTATAACTACTGATTACGCTCTAGCAAAATCAATTTCTTCGAGTTTTGAAGAAGCTCACGATGGGTGCTGGTATCATGGTTGAGATGCCTTTCCTTCGGCTTCTACGATTTGTCCCCATCACAGCGGTGCAAGAGATGTTTAACGCCAATGACTACATCATCAAGGGCGCAGGCCGAGCCGTCGAATTAGCTAGGTCCCGCACAGGCGAGCAAAACATCTTCGCCAAGGTCATCGAGGAAAACAAAAAGGAAGGTGTAGGACACATCGACGACATGGATGTGAGAATCGAAGCCATGAACATCATCATTGCCGGTACTGATACCTCTGGCGTCACGCTCACTTACCTTACGTGGGCTGTTTTGCAACGGCCAGATTTGCAGGCGGCCCTGGAGGCCGAGGTCTGTGGTTTGGCTGATGGCTTCACCGAGAATCAACTGATCAATCTCCCGTTGCTGAATGCCGTCATCGAGGAGACATTGAGACTGTATGGTGCTGCACCTAGCAGCCTACCACGCATTGTGCCTCAAGGTGGGACTAAGTTCGCAGGACACTACATCCCGCAAGGAGTAACTGTCGACACACAAGCGTACACCTTCCATCGTGATCCAGAGATCTGGAGCGAGCCTCTGAGGTAAATCATCTTGTCTCCTTCTCTTTTACAGTAGCTGAATTCACATCAGGTTCAACCCACAACGCTGGCTCCCCTCCAAAGAAGGGCTCTCTGCTGAAGCGCATTCACCGGCTGCCAGAACAGCATTTCACCCTTTTGGCGCTGGTGCACGATCCTGTATCGGCATTCATCTTGCACGTATGGAACTCCGATATGCGGTCGCATTCTTTTTTAGAGAGTGCAAAGGCATCAAGCTTGCACAGCAAACAACACCAGAGAGTATGGATTTTGTGAATTTCTTCTTGATCGCGCCGAAGGCTCATCGATGCGAAATAACCTACAACAGATAGATACAAGCTGATAGAATGATGAGTTGGAGCGATGGCACATAGTAATAGATAAACTGTTAATATAGTTTCTCCTTATAGCACTTGACTTTTCATTTTCCGAGTACATCAATCAAACCACACCTCACGATGGCGGTATGACCACGGCATATGATAATCGTAAACAACTCTTTTTCCTCCAGCATAGTCTGCGCTCTTGTTCCACCAGCCTCAATCGACACGGTGATTCTCTGCCGTCCTTAGCGATAAAATTAGTTACTTAATCCAAAATTCGGAGAATGCCTACGCTTACCATGCCTGTCTCCAGACAGCTCATACCCGAAATGTCTCTAACCACGATCGCATTCATGTTACTCTCGGACTGGGAGAGATACAATCTAAAAACCTTAGTGGTTCGAATGATCATTGCGAAGGCACTTCGTAGAATTTACATGTACGCCGTTCCCCATCGCCAGCAAGAGTCAGATGTAGATAAGGAATGTACCTTTTGATGCGTACGAGCTATTGTAGAATACAGTTAGCATTGGTAGGTAAGCACAGCAAGTTAACGACTATGAGGAGGTTCATGACGGGTTCTAAAACAACCGTCGTTTTGATTGTGAAATTGGGATGAACTTGGGTATCAGTTCCGTGGAGCCTACTATGCGTGGCTCTAGTCACACTTCTCTCTTACCGTGGAGCGGGCTCTTGTACAATTGTCCGAGGCCTCGTGAATCGGCCGGTACACTGGTTATGAACACTGCTGATCATGAACATCTTTGGCGCTGTCATGCTTTACTCAGTTTCGCTCCTCTACGTTTGCAAGTTGTACACACGACACTTCCTTCGTTGTGAGAGTGTTGTACACGATACTGTAACTCAAGTCTGCGTCATTGAAAAGGGGAAAGAGGCATAACTTGCGAAGAATGTCCTACAGCCGATAGACTTGTTCAATGAACGGTTCATTGTTTAAATAATGTCAATGGAAGGATTGAATTGTTTGTTCAACGCTTTTTTGTAAGAACAGAAGACCAGGCGACTTGAACATCTATCGTGCTCTTTGTTATTCCCTATATTACTAATTCTACCCTTGGAAAGCGCAAGTATCCGATTCCGAAACATACTAATATCATCAAACTAATCTTCCCTCCTACACCTTCGCGATCAAGAAACAAACATCATATGCAACCTAACCACTTATCAGTCAACGCACACCGAGATTGTGTAATTTACTCACCCGTTTTCGAGCGAATCGTCATCGTACTTAAGCGCTCCGATCCTCTCGGCCTGAGGCATTCGGCACCCGCTTGCAAGAATCTTCAATTGCTCTTCAGCAAACTGTTTGACCTCCTCGCTCACTTTGCTCGCTCCTCTGACTACCGACAGCGGCCACAGTAAGGACGCAGCAGACGCTTTCGATATCGTTGATGGAAACACCATAGTCCAAGCCAAGTGAGTCGGTGCACCAAGCGTGACAGATCCATTCGCAATGGTGAATTGTGATAGGCTTGCGCAGATGTCGGCGGCCATTTGTTGAACATGCTGGATAGCTTCTGTTTGTATGGCAGAATTCTTCGAATTTGTAGAAGAAGGGAATGCGTAAACGATTTCGTTGAGGAGTATGCGGGTCATTCGATACGAATTCCATAGTTGTGCTGCTCGGTGATCTGAATATCGATGGAAAGTTTTACTACATACTCCGGACTGTGAGGTTGCTGTTTCGATCTCTTGATAGGGTGGAAGTCTTTTACCGAGCAAGATGTACTTGCTGTCTAGAACCTTTGCGGCTTCAACAATCACCCCAGCGTTACACTTTTTCTCGTTGATATCAGCTACAAGATCCGCTACCTCGCCCGTCAGATGAGCAAACTGATATTTTGAGTATTCGGACTCATGTAGCGCAGCTTCTTTCATGAGATCCTTCAGTTCTGCCGGCAGTCGAGATTTCTGCTGCAAGCTATTTACACACGCAATCCTGGTCACTTGGACAAATAGTTGTCTGCCAATCCTGGTCTTGAACTGTTGCGAACCGCGTAGCTTTAGTAGAACGAGAGCACCGCGCGTGTGTATTATCCAGCTGTCTGGTGTGCGTGGCCCAATCCATGCGATGGTTTCAAACAAACCCAGTAACAGCACTGAGATCAGTGTCGCGTCCTCAGTCGCAGTTGAAGGGTTCGCTAGTGCCGTATTTGTCTCGAGCAAAGCTCTTACGTATAAGCGGCGAGCTTGTTGCATCAGATGCGGCTGCCTCATCTCTTGACCTAGGGCGGCTGTTGCTGCCGCTTGAACAGTCGCAAGCAAAGTAGAACTACTATCAACCTGACAGTGTATGGTTGGCAGATAATCAAAGTGGCTTCCTGGAATATAAGAGGTCATGAAATGCACGATGGCGATATCTTTCACGGAATGTGTTATAGTCGGCCATATCATGGACTGGTCGGTGTCGTAGCTGGAGCCAGACGTTGTCGTCGAGCCAAGCGGGGTCAAGCTGGACAAGTGATCGATTTCGTCGGGCTTGGGTAGCGCCTTCCTCGGTCGGGCGGTTCGGGATACTGAATTCTTGTAGCTTTTCTGTGCAGCCTTTGCCACACTCTCGTTCATGTCCCGAAACTTCTGGTCCCATAGCTCCCGATATCCGGAGCAAGTGATGTTCATACGTTTACATTGAGAACATCCGGGTCTCGTTTTGTCGCACTGCAATCGCTTGTCAAAAGTTGTCCCTCGAGCTCGACAATTAAGCATGCTTACCTTGATCCGCCGACCACGACAAGGGAAGCAAGCCTCTGAAAGCCTCCCGCTATGCACCATCGTTTCGTCAGTCTGATCTAGGGATAGGTAGCCTCCCAAGATCGATGCCTGGCTCGCTGTATACTACCGTTCCTGGAAACACACTCCGTAGGCGACTGATCTTGTTGAATGCGATGCTCTCGAACCTAAGCCACTCGTGAGTGCAGGAATATCGGAAACCGCGCCATGTCAGCAGCGCAGCGCTAATTCGAAATCAGAAAGCTTGACGTAGCTTGTACATGTTTATTTCCGTGAGCCACGGCCTGTAATGAATGTCATTGGCTCGGTTTACCAGTGTCAGTGCAGCGACTTGTTCGCGACGGGTAAAGATGCCACGTAATGTCTGACCGTTGAGTATAAGCCACAGATTCAAGCGAGTAGGGTAGGGATGTTGTTGGTGATTGGAAGTGAGATGAGGTGAGATCACACGAGGCTGAGTAAAGAAACGCTAACGAATTACTTACCTGTTCGGTAGCGCCCCACCGACAGACGATTATCGCTTCCGATTCTAGACGAGCATTATCAACTCTGAATAAGTACACATTCAGTATGCGATCACAGGGAATATAGTATATAAAGCATGAGTTGCTGTCATGACAGTTTCACAATACATACACCAACCTCGAAACGTCGATTTGCACCAACTTCAGAAACGCAGTTCCATCATCAAGTCTGTTCACTTTTTGTCAAGATGCTACATGCCCGCGACATAATCTCAATCATTGAGATGATTTTCTACATACCAACACTCATAACATGTGGGGTTGTATGCTTCCGCCACGGTTTCCGCAACGGCTCAGGCTGGATCTATACACTCGTCCTGTGCCTTGTTCGCATTGCAGGTGCAATCTGCCAATTCGTTTCGCATAGCAATCACTCCACAGGTCTGATCAAAGCGACGCTCGTTCTCAATTCCATCGGCCTCGGGCCCTTGATGTTCTCAACTTTGGCGTTTCTGTCTCGTTTGTAAGTTTGCCCTCACACTTCAGTGCCCTTAACATGGTCAAGACTAATCAGATGCAGTGTTCAATTCGTCAACACCAAATCGAAACCTGTAGTCACAAAAAAGCATCTGATCATCATCCGTCTTGTCATCTCTGCGGGAATCGGATTGTCCATCTCCGGCGCCATGGACGCCTTATCAAGCGGCGCCACCCAGGTGCCAACGAACAGCAGAGTCGGCATAATCCTGATCATCGTCGCCTATGTCAGCCTTGTCGTCTTGTTTCTCGTATACGCGCGTCGCGTTTCCCTACTTCCCAGGAAAGAACGTCGTGTTCCTCTCGCCATCTTCGCTTCGCTACCTCTTATTCTCGTCCGGCTTGTCTACTCCGCATGCGTGGTTTTCCTACACAACTCCGCGTTCAATATTCTCACAGGCAGCGTCGCCGTACTTGTAGTCATGTCTGTAATAGAGGAATTTGCTGTTGTTGGAATATATGTACTGCTGGGCTTCCTAGTAGATAGGTGAGACTCAAGGCCTTAGATGGATAGCCTTCATGACCAATAGGCTAACTGATACACCAAGGCAAGCTCCTACCACATTCACTAGAATTGAAATGGAGCAATAGGTATGACTTGGAGAAATGGCTATCTTAATCTATCAAATTCATCACTCAAATCATTATCACGATTACTACTATTTCACGTGTTTCCGTCTCTCTACGGTCTAATATTTCGATATAGATTCCCACTGCTAGATCATTGCGGTTTCGGCGAGTGACTTTCTTGATATGTTATGCTTTGTGGTGTTCTTTGCTGTTGGAAAACTAATCATATTTACTGTAATTTTGAGGTGACTAGCACGCCGGCGCCTGCCGGAGCGAACACAAGTCATCTTAGTATTCAACGCCTTGATAGTACTTGGAATGTGTAACACTTTGCCCTAAGGAGGTGCCGGCTATAGTCATGCATCATGAGGCTTGTGGCGTCTTGGCTTCGCGTAGACAGTAGCTAGGCTATTCTATGCTTCCCCAAGCCAACCAGTACTGACGCATCGCCAAACACCTTCCAGCTAAGCTCAATCGCATCATCATATCAATCACTGCGGCATAAATGAGACAAGCCAAGTCAGACATCCGTGCGCGAGCAATATCTCGGGGACTCCTGGTGCGCGTCTGAGGGCTTGAGATGGCATCACTCGCTTGAAGCCGCAAATACGTTGAATAGAACTTACAGCGAACAACATGTCTCTGCGAGGAAAAAGGGCCAGTGAAAATATCTAATCTTAGGAAATACCGCCTCTTTCTTCCGACGCATGAACCTCGGCACTATCTTCAACAAGGGAGAGCTCACACTCATCTTCTTGATCGCTTATCGAGGTTTCCTCGAACGGACCCACGCGGCAATACTTGAGATGTTCCAAGAACGATATCTCCGTGTAAGCCTGATACTGTCTGTCAGTGTATAGACAGCTCGAACAGAAGGACCCATGCTCCGCATGGGACGTAATTGGTTCTACCCAAGGCGCGAACACGGTGCACATATGAATTCGTAGTATCTCCGAAGGCGAATCTCGGACAACAGTGAGGTCAGCTCGGCCTGGGTCCTTGCAGTCCATAGCAGTGTAAAAGTCGTGTAGGTCGTGATTCTGCTTCCAAAAGCGCTTGGCATCAGCACTACGGCTCACAGGGTTTCCCAGGCGCATCTTCTCAAGTGTGTCCGCATCATAAAGCCTATGGATACCCTCTTGTTTGAACTTGTTCAGACCGTTTGTGAAGGTTGCGGGCAAAAACAGAAAGCTTGGGACTGTGGCAAGCTCTTGAATGCTGAATCCCATCCCAACGATCGCCTCTACTTCAGGGACAGGGTACCAAAACATATTGGTTCCACCTGGACGAACGCAAGTGAAGCAGGCTCGTAAGCAAGTTGGAAGGTAAATGTATGGCGCTAGCTGTCCGCATTGATCACAATATCTTTGGTATAATTTGTGATGTAGTTGCTGCAATGTTGTTTGAGCCGTGAGCCTTATAGCCATCATTCCCCTCACTGTATTCGGGGCGATCCTCAGCGCGAACCGAAGCAATGGGTGCGTGTCAACGAGATGACATGAGAATCGATTGCAGTGTCGGAATTGCATCAGTTGGGGAATGGAAAGTTGTTCGAGAATGATACGAAGTATCTCCGCGGGAAGAACCGTTAGTTTTCCGAGTCTTTTGGTTTGCGGCACTTGGCCCATCAGATTTGAGAGAGGTGTCATCCTGTTAATCAGCCGATCTAGATGGAACAGGGTCGGATTGAAGTCCGCTTGCGTGTAGGTGAGACGCCTGATATCAACGTCGTCCGGATCAACCATTGCGGATGCTAGGAAGGGTACGTGGTTTTATTAGCAGGAAAAGGAGTGCCTGATCCGGATTTATAAAGAAATGATCCTTGGCGCTGTGTAGCGGATATTCGACCCATGGGTCAGCGTGTTCCCGTATGGTAACATCAATCTCCCGACCGACCACTACGAAACCCCAGATTTGGTTGGCTCAAATCTTTCTTGTGTAAGTCTTGCTCCTGTGCCGCACTGACCAGAAGCGCGATTATGATACTCGGTTTCATCGCATACGAGGCTGCACAGTTCTGAGGTTGTTTCTGAAGAAAGACTGTAAGCGGGAAAGTGAAACCAGTCGCGATCAGCGTTTAATAACCCGCATCCAACTCACGCTCGTGCAACACCATATTTTTGTCTATGCGTCGGCTTTAGGCGCAACTAGTCGACACAGCCCAATGCGGGCCACATGTGTTATCCTGAACAGGAAGGTAAAGGGGAAAAACTGTGGGTAGTATAGCCGGAAATAGGTTGCACCGGTTCACTTAATCCCGTAGAAGGGTTACCGCTTTGTCGGACAGCCGATGAATACGAAAATAGGCCAAATTGAAGATATTGATCGTGACCTGCTTCCAAACAAACTTTTGACTATTTCTACAGAAAACCAACGTGTTCATGATCCTAGCCGTCCCTGCCATCATGAGAACAGTCAATGTGGTAATCTCGTGTCATCAGCTAAAAGTAGATGTTGCAAGTCATCAATGACGCCGGCAACAACAATACCAACATCATCGCTGACCACCGCTTTGAAACGCAGCCCTGAAGCTAACTTCAATCATAATGCAAGTCGTGATTACCATTTTCAAGGTTACGGAGATATCTGCCTGGCACTCTGTCCTTGCCTCATCTCTGTACCCTTTGGCCACTGAAGTTGTACTGGAGAACTCCAAAGACAAAAGCGGTGACGCAATTTCTCAATTCAACGTGAAAGCCGGAAGAAAGCTGCGTCCACGTTGACAAAGGTAAGGGGCACAATGACAGGGAGAAAAGCGATTAACCATATACGTTAGACGTATACCTGTTGTACTTTGAGGCCCTCTAATCTTCTACAAACGTTGTTAGTAATTGTCGATCTGCGGCATGACTCGTTGTAACCAAGTTCTTGTTGCCTACCCCCACCCCGGCTAGGTAGCTAATGGCCAGCTAAATTTTAGCGGAATATCGACCAGTACCCCTCCCTTCCCTGTCTGCTCTTGCACAACTTTACATACCTACTTAGCAATGGATCTCTGGTGGTTTCTAATTTCCGTGATCTCAACTCTCGTTGGAGCACTATTGATACACCATTTCTTCCGTATTGAAACATCCCAGATCCAGCGCGAAGCGACAGCTGATAAACCCTCACACCCTGATCTTCTACAGACCTTACCAGAACCTATTCTCCTGCTCAAAAATAGGTTAGCAGAAGCTCTTCCAGGATGTGTCATCTCTGCTTCTGAAACAGCCACATTCACACAGGCCATAAACGCGTACTGGGCTCAACAAGAATGCGAGGTCGTTCCTGCATGCGTTGTGCAGCCTCACCGTGCGCAGGAACTGTCGCAAGCAGTTATAATCTTGAAAAACGGGTTCGATCAATTCAGAAGAGAAAGTACTAGCACCAACAGCCACGCTAATGGATTGTTTGCTGTTCGAGGTGGTGGTCACTCTCCAGTCGCGGGCGCCGCAAGCATTGCGAATGGCGTACTTATTGACCTGGGTCGCTTCAATGAAGTTACACCATCTCCAGATGGAACGAGTGTACGAATCGGAGCTGGGTGCAGATGGATAAATGTCACTCAGGTACTGGAAAAGAAGGGACTTGCTGTAGCTGGGGGCAGAAACTCGGCTGTTGGGGTAGGAGGCCTTACATTGGGCGGAGGCTTATCGTTCTTGTCACCGCGCTGTGGTTTCGTTTGCTCGAACATCATAGAGTATGAGGTCGTACTTGCGGACGGCTCGCTGGTTGTTGCGTCTTCGATAAACAACCCCGACTTATGGCGCGCACTCAAAGGTGGTTCAAACAATTTCGGTATTGTGACAAGCTTCACCGCACGTAGCTTCCCTCTTCCTCAGATTTGGGCCGGCTTTCTTTACATTCCATCTTTCGAAGCATCAAATGTACTTTCTGCATTCCACGATTTTCTCAACCGAACCGTAACGAACGACGTAGGCCAGACATACAATGAACATGCGGGTGGTCCGTTGACTTCATTCACCTATCTTCACCAACTTGGTATACAGGCCATTGTCATCAACTTGGTGCACACCCAGGCTCCTACAATTGGCAGGAAATGGCCAGCGTGTTGGCAAAATTCAAAGTTCGCATCCCTCTGGCGGTTCTGGAGTACTTGCAAGTTGCGCAGTCTCACAGACGCAACAGACGAGTTGAGCGCGCTCGATCCTCCTGGTCAACGTCAACTCTTCGCCACGACAACAATTAAGAACGATCCCGCGACCCTTCAAGCTGCACATGACGCATTTCGAAAATCCATCGTTTCCATCCGAAAACGCAATATCAAAGGCATGTCATGGTCACTTGTGCTTCAACCGCTGATCCCGGAATGGGCACGCAAGGGCGACCCGAATTCACTCGGGCTCGATACTTGTGACGATGAACCACTTGTTGTGGTTGGTTTCATGGTTCACTGGACGTTGCGTCAAGACGATGTGTCGGCGGAAACCATCACTCGTTGTGCAATTGAACAGATTGAGACATTCGCTACTGCACATGGGACAAACCACCGATATCGCTATCTCAATTACTGTGGCAAGTGGCAAAAGCCATTTGATGGCTACGGGGAAGAAAATCTGACATTCTTGAAGCAAGTGAGTCGGAAATACGATCCAGACGGCTTGTTCCAGATTGGCTGTTCGGGCGGCTTCAAGCTCGGATTGTAAAGAGAATCCGCGGAAGTCAAGTGAGATGCCCAACCGCCCTAATGCTATTTCCACATAGAACTCGTAGACTCACCACTACACTGCATCGGAAACTACTCTATATCTAACTCTGTTTGAATTTCCTCCGTCTCTTGGTCTTCGAGCCGTTTATTAGCGAGACTACTTTGGCACCGAAACTATATTTGTGTTTATACCTCGATGCTTCCAAACAAACTCAATTAAGCCGCGGCAAGATCGCGAACGCATAACTGACGCATAGCGTTGCCTTCGTGTGCTTGGTGCAGGGATTCACTAATCGGAGCTCGACGTTGAGGTACCAGGTCATTCGGTCGCCATGGAGGAACGTGCCCACGTGGCGAACCGACCGGTTCAACGGCTATGGATTGAAGGTTCCTCACCTGTTGCCTATTCGTCAGTCGCCCGGTTCTTCGGCGCCGCCGGCTTGTGCTGTGCCGGGTGATCGGTCTGTCTATCACCATCTACAGAGCCTAATATGGGTATCAACGTGTACACTGTTGGAATAGGTATAATGTCCAATCGATGCGCTGCAGGATCGGTCGATCTCTTGCTTGTTAAACGAAACCACGTCGTAAATCGGGAATTTTGTATCCGACATAGAGCTACTTTCACATGGTATCAATCTACCAGCCAGGGTTCGTGGAAATATCCTCAGATTTCCCTTTACATCATCAGTGTGTGTGGTTCTGGACCAAAGTTTATTTCAAGATATTGACTACTCTACGGTGGTGCCATGGAGAGAGCAGGTGGAAACAGCCCGATGTGTGGGTAACCACAGCCGCACCGTGTACAATATGTTCTGTGCGGATGCTGCATCCATCGACCTTCCACGTCGATATGTTTAAAGTTTGTAATCGTATTTGAGTCGAATCGAACTAACTGACTCTACTTTACTCATCCGCTCGTCACTGGTCAGGCAGTGGTAATGACTCGCAATAAGGCGTGCATGTGATCTCTCGCGGTAGCGCGAAAGCCAGAACTAAACTTGTCATCTCAACAAGCAACGTCCTACCACGACAAGAACAATATTTTACGCAGTAACCAAAACGACTCGAATAAATAGCTGTAGACTCTTAAGACGCAACTAAGGTGTTCGCACTTTTTTGGCATTCCCCAACGCTATACTGCTCTACCAATTCTGTGCGGTGTTCGTCAGACGGTTCTGTGTTATCGCCAGAGATGTGCTGTCTACTACCTGGGGATCGGCGACGAGGCCCGTCAAATGAAGAATTCCTCCGCTGCGTCGATCATCGAAATCGAGATCTAAATTGAGTCATACAAGTTCTAAACGTTTGTATTGTGGCATTAGGCTGCATGTAACCCATTCTATTGGACGCCTATACGGCCATGGTAAATTCGCTACCGATCCTGGTAGAGAGGCTGGAAAGCATGGGGAAACCTTGGAATTAAGTTCAGCCAAGCCTTTCACGAGTGGACATAGCTTGCGTGGCAGCTTGGTTGAATCAACTCCACCTTGCAGAAACGGGAGAAAAGGTGCTATTTCTGCGATAAACACTCGATGGACTACTTCCTAGATAGGTCAGTAAGACAGGCTGTTACGGTTATCAGCCAGCCATCTTGGGCCCTGCCTTGTATGAAACTTGCTCCTGGAATGCTGCAGGGTGACAGGACGCACTCAGTTCCTTAAGCTTTAGTAGACGTTACAAGCTCTCCTAAACCTACCTTATGTTTGAGAATTGCGTGCCGAAATTCCGTGGAATGGTCTAGTTGTTAGGAGGTCCACTGACTCTCGCGGTAACATGAGATCCAGAAGCAGTGTAGTGGTAGATGTGACGAATACCGCACAAAATCAACAGAACAGCGCAATTTCAGCTAATCTCAAAGAGCGTGATAATCTATGCAGCATATTGCGAGTCTGCTGCTTTTGTTGTTTAGACGGCAAGGTCGACTCCCGATACCGCGATACCACGAGAGGCTTACTCTCGCACTCGTCAGCTCATGTTTCGATAAGCGCGCGACTGAGATCGTGGAGGGTGCTGCACGTGACGTGTTTGAATGATGATGTGTGTCTACGTCATCCCCTTCGACATCGCGTTCCCCTTTCTATTTTAGTCTCTACTCAGGGTAGATCTGCATTGCGCACCCTCGTGTAAGCCGTCTAGAGAATTTATCTCAGCCTACGTACGTGATAAGGAGATCATTTAGAACATCGTACGATGGTGCGCCTAAGACGCGGCAGCTGTTAGCGTCCTTTTGGCCAACTCGCCAATCGCAAGGCAAAGATCACGCTTGGACGCTAGCAGCTGTCAGTTGCTACCCACGCAGGCCGCGATCCAACGGTAGAGACATTTTCCGGTCTGGTAGTAAACGTGATGAAGCGCTCCATACCAGATGTTCAAGGGATTTATCACCCTGCTAAGCACATCAATCTCAACATCGTCATGATCAAGAGAGTGGGGTGTGTCAACATTTCAGAAACTTGGTGGGAGCAAAATTGAATTATGGTCCAGAACTGCTGAGACATACATTTGAATCTTGGAAGTTGTCACAAGGGCCAACTAACCCCAACTGTCGATTCCCCGAAATTTACTGCTTGATACTCCATTGTGGCGGATTGTAAACGGTTTTGATAATTATGTTGTACATATGCACTAGGAGTTTCGCTTGCAGGCTACGGTATATGTGCTCATCGTCTCGGTATTATAACTCCGACCGCCAACCAACGCTTTCGTGAAAAAACACATTCAAGCTCACACTACCCGCCGTTTATGTCCGTAGAGCTAGGCCATATATGCAAGATATATTCATTTGTTCAGGGCTACGGGATAGCAAATCCGAGCGGAGAAAGGCACTGTACCACTAATCTAGGGTCAAACCAAGATTCCGGGTCCAACCGCTCACTGGCGAAACATTATCTTGCTGATGGCAAGCAAGCATCAGCATGCGAAGAGCTGGGTTAGTCCCTCCTTTCTCATCATGCTCAGCCCTATAGCGGACTCAACCGCTAGTAGTTCGCAGTGGCCCTAAACCTTTCCTTTTCTCATGACCTTGTTCAGTCCTTGTCGCACGTCTTGTATATCCATTCTTCACCTTCCTTTTGTATTCACCGGCCTACCGCTGCCACCGCTCTTTCCAAGGAGCGTATATAACTCATACGTCGCGATTTACTTGTCCAATACGTGGAGTCGCCTCATCTCAGTATAATCTTCCACTCCTATTGATCGCGCCAGTCTCGAAATGGTTACTAGAGTCGCATCTCACGGCCCGCGACACATACCCGAACCTATGCAGGAGTTTACCTTCTTAACGAACCTGAGCAACGACTCCGACCAGCTTACAGAGGACGTTTCCCCTGCTCCGCAGCCTGTCGATGTCGTTGAAGGCCTAACACAAGACCAAGCTATTCAAGCACTGTTGAAGGACGGCATGGATCAGCAGGATATTATGCAATGTGTTCAAGCATATAAGAAGGCGAGTGAAGGCAACTTCTTAGCTATGATCAAGGCTATTTCGTATATCCCACACGAGGCCTTGCTCGTCAGAATTCAGGCAGCCGGTTCGTAGCCTCGCGTGCCTGCAACAATACGACACTGATGCGTTGGTAGGCACCGTACTTGAAGCTGTCTCGAAGATCAGCGACACAACACCTCCATCACAGTTTAAGCGTCCGCGTCCTAACGACATCAACGACATCCCTAAGTACACTGGCAAACGCGAGCGAATGGACTCCGTGTACGATCATCCACCAGTTATAGACCGAAGTGCAAACAGGACTACTAAGCGGTACCGCCTAGATACGGGCACGTAAGACTACGAAGACGGACCAGGGTGTGGGAACGAAGAGGAGTGGCTTTTCTAAGGGTCGTTCAAGAAGTGTTCTCGCACAGAAAAAATTCACAACATCAGAGACGGGACGGGCGCTTGATCCCATTGCTTCTCCTGCGCTCTCAGTAAACATCTGTGGGATATGCACGTCTCATCCCATCCCTTTCAAACGTCGTCTACCACAACCGAGCAACACTCCTCATTTCACTGGAGATTCGACACCTGCAGTATCACAACTCCTGCATCTACGCAATGTGTTGTTCAGTCAGCGCAGTCAGCAAATGGTGTCCATGGTGGTAATAAGGATCGAAACATTCACTCGGATCACCTAGCCATCAACCATGGGACGCCATTTCTACGATTCTCCTCTATTGCTCTTGGCGTACCTCTTCCCTTGCCTCTATGGCGGCTCATGACTCAGAGGATAGATATGGAGGCTCACGATTTAGAGTCAATAATCGTGAAAACTATCTGGACCTTGTAATGCAGCGATACCCACTTAGCTCATATATCTTTCTTACGGCTCAATTTAGTGTACTTGCCGCGAGCTTAACTTCCCCATCCATCAGTCGTACTACAATACAGTAGTTATTCTACTGGAATCTTGTTTGTTATATGACTTCTCTAAAATCGCAGATAGATCGCAGTGACCAGTCTGTTTCAAACCCGCATAGAAGTGAGTCAGAGTAGAACTTGGTATTCATAGCTACAAGGTCGATTTCTTTGTCTCATCAGCCTGAGCGTATTCATTCCAATGGCTTGGACAGAACCTACAGGCTTTTTCGTAGAACGGTACTACTGCATGAATCTGCCGCGTACTAAAACGGGAGCTAGGCTTGATGATCCCGACCCGCCCCGCGGAGGTGATCCAGGTCTTTGGCGACCAGAATTCGAGGCTGAAGCAACGACAGGCGAGATTGAAATTTGGTATGAATATCACAGCGATGTTCCAGAAAAAAAAGTCTCTTATCTGTACTTAATCACATTCTTCCACTCTTTCTGGACGCCGCCCTTCACTGAACATCTACCGTCTTTGCGTTGCTATAAACGAACCCTGATGCTTACTCAACTATACGTTATACACATGTCATTAATATAACGCTGTACAGGATTTACATGTTGGTACGACTTCTCCCAAACATACTCGTAAGCTAAGCCCTGAGACAACAAATTTGCGCAAGCCTCTTCTCCAGGATGTCAGCCATCTTGTGAAAGATCTTGAGTGCGGGTTTGTAGGCTATTACTAGTGCACTGTTCAATGAACATGGCTTTTGTTGATAGATTTATGCGTTATGCTTCACAAGGACAAAAATATATCTGGTAAGACCGTTGGTGTCGAATACACTTAAGGCAGGAGATCATGATTCAAGATGTTGCTGTGTCAGAAGGTCCTGCTTATCACCAGCACGCTGTACTTTCAATAAACATTAGGTCTGTGTAGTAATCGGGAAGTGATCTGAATATTTATCTGTTACTCATCAGCAGCAGAGTACAGCCTGTTAGTATTGTAGTCGCTCTACCGACACACCATTGTGTTAAGCCATGTTTTTCCGCCTGGGGTGATCAGGATGGGCTAAAGACCTCAGACAGGTTAAACGAAAGTTAGAAATTCGAACAGGCTATTGTTGTTTTAATCGGTTCGTTACTGATACTTCAACATCTTCTCTCGTGGAACTATCTTCAATTGCATGCACTTTTGACGTGTATTCTTGAAACGACAAGAACCCTAGCTGGTCTTTCCGCTACAAGAGTCTTGAACCCACCGATAGCTAGCAATATGTATGCAAATCATGCACTGGATGGTGTCGCGTTCATTTGCGAGAAGCAGTCCCAAGGTGAAAATAATATACTGCTTCTTGGAATATTTTAAATCGCAACAAGGTTCTGTGGACCGAAAAGCTTCATGTTCTATTCAACACGCACAGTAATACCGTTGTACGTGCTAGCTTGTCCACTCAGGAAGACGTATTCTGATGTCCTCTACTTCGACGCAGATGGTGCTAGTGAATACACATGGCGTATTACACAAGTAATGTTCTCAGCATACCACAATGTATGCGTCCTTTGCATGAAAGCCGGTGAATCATGAAGGTCGCTGACGGACATTGCCAAAATATTGTCAAAAGACTGGCGCAGATACTTAAGAACACTACCTTCTTCTCTATGGATCTAATCCCCCATCAACCATCAGAAGAAATAATCACCTGAGAGACAACAAAGACCCGAACATTTTCCCATTGAATCAATTCCTCTGAATTTTTCCCCTCCCAACGATGAAACACCACCCACACAAGTCGCAGTTCAGGCCACCCACGCTTACTACGCCCCATTCACCTGCCCTGACCGCCCAACGGGTATATCATCACCCGAAATCACATCAAGCATGACAACCTACAATCACCGAACCCACAACCCATTATTTCATTTCCAAGTTATTCACTCCCGATACATCTCCCGCCACTACCACCATGACCCCGCGATTCATGCCCAACCACCTCCCTGCTCTTTTTATTGGCACCGCCTTCACCCTAGGCGGCGTGCTCCCGCTCTTCCGCCCGGAGCGCGCGATCCTAGAGTACGGCTTACCGTTGCGCATTGCGCGTTCCTCCGAGGCGCAGATGCTCATGCAAATTGGCATGGCGCGCACCACGTGCATCGGAGCGGCGATCTTTACTTTCTACCTGCAGGGCAAACTCGAAGCGGTGGATACGCTGTTGGTGATGATGGGATACTTGGGTGCAGGGGACATGTATTTTTGCTGGAAGGAGGGTGCGCCGGTATGGGGCACGTTCAAGGCCTTTTGTGGGGCAGCGTTCATGGCATGGGGGTGGTTTGGGATGACGGCTTGGGCTTAGAACGTGGAAATGAATGAAGTTAGTGGGAAGACTGGGTAATTCTGGAAGTTTGGTTTTTGGTGACCTATGTCAAACTGTTTATTTTTATTATGCATTACGTATATTACGTGCCTCTCTACTTTATCTCAGCGTGCGGGAACCATTGTTTCACGCTCCGATCCAACGCCTTCGGTCCAACAGGTTTGACTAAATACCCGTCCGCGCCTGCTTCCTCCGCATTTGCACGATCAGAAGGCGAATCCTGTCCCGTGACAATAAACATGACACTTTTCTCCGACCCATGCTTCCTCTCTAGAGCGCGTATTTGCCGCGTTGCATCGATGCCGTCACAGACGGGCATCTGGAGGTCCATCAGCACGAGCTGAAAGGGCTCAACTCTCGGCTTTGTGACGAGGTCTTGTTGCAGGAGTGGATCGTAGATAGTGGGCGGCACTGCATTATGAGCGGCAAAGATGTCGACAGCCTGTTGACCGTCGGCTGCCGTGCGATATGGTATCTTCCGGCGGGAGCAGTACATTTCCAAAAGACGAAGATTTACGGCGTTATCATCCACGAGGAGCGTCATCGGTTTCGTTGATGCTGGTTGTTCTTCCGACACAAGTGGTAACTGTGCCATATGTAGCTTTTGCAGCAGTTGCGCAAGGTCCAGCTGAACAGTGGGGGAAAAAGCCGAGTCGCGAGGCGATGGCGACGGTGCCGGGGGCCCTGTTTCATCATTCGCATCGTTGTCGCCGGTTGTGGGCGGATAGAAATTGATATTCGGGACGTCAAAGTAAGACTTGTTCTCCTCTTCCTTGGAAGCGAGATCATCGAAGAGAGCATTTGCTTGCGCCAGGGCGTCTTTGAGAGTGATGGATAAGAATGGACCTCTGACATAAATAACTCTGTTCTCTATAAGCACCATCTTATTGTCAAAGTTGATGAAACATTCCGACTCCGGCACAAGACAGATAGCGATTTGCTTTGAATTGACTCGCAATACCTGGCCGTGAAGCTTTGATAGATCGGAGGTATAGTCAATGATCAGGAGGGGTTCATCAGGGTTCTCGGATTGAACGTATCCTAAGCTGGTAAGATGCTGGCTAAAGTGATGCCCCAACAGCGAGGTCTCTAAGGATGGGGTGATTCGATGAAAGACGAGCGGACGCTCAAGACGGTTATCCTTTATTGGCTTCAGCAAGGGAAACGAGCAGGCGGTGACCGGCTTGGCAAATACAGCACGGAAATGCGAGCCCTTCCCGACTTCTGATGATACCAAAGAAACGTGACCGTTCATCAACGAGGCCGACTTGGTTGCAAGCGTTAGGCCGAGCCCGGCGTCTGTAGTATTGGTGTCCACCTTCTCGTATGCGCCGAAGATGCGTCTTTGATTGGTGAGGCTAATGCCGCGTCCAGTATCCTCGACATCAACTACCAGCGATTGGAAGTCATTACTGATTGATATAGTCAGAGCGACAACACCGCCGCTGGTGTTCTGGAATGCATTGATAAGCAACGGTTGAATGCAATCAACAAAAAGCGGTAAGTCGATCGCCAACAGGTCGCAGTTTGATGGGAGTAGACTGGTGAACACAATAGACGCTCTCACTGGCACATCATCCCGAAGTACCTGAGTCGTCTCGTCAAGCAACGCTTTCTCAATTTCAGAAATCGCATACAGTCCAGTCAGACGTTCCGTTTGAGCGACATCTGCCCACCGGTTAAGCTTGATCAAACTGTTCACTGTCGAGATGAGTTCGCGCGCAGATGTCCTAATCGTCTTAATGTATACGTAGGGATCCATCTTGTCTGTGTCGGGAGTCATGAACGGCGACGATGCCGTGGTCGAGCCTATCAAGTTCCGCGTGTTGAGCTCCTCAATCAAGAGTTCGACGGAACCCAAGATGCCATGGATGGGTGTCCGAAGTTGATGAGTAATCCCTCGTAGAAAATTTTCTTTCGCCGCCAGGGCTTCTTTGAGAGCATGACTCTGCCAAAAGCGGCACAAGTTTGCCGCACACATATTCACAAACCAGGAGTCGACATCATCAAAGACCAGACGAAAGTCATTCGAGCCTACAACAAGGAAAGTCGGTGTGCTCTGACTGGCGCACTGCGCGGCGATGACGCGTACCACTCGATCAGCGATAAGATCTTCGTGGTTGCGATGTTCAATGAGGAAGTCGAAGTGTTCGTAGTCCTCCCAAAGACCTTGCTCGAGTTCGCTGGCTAGAAGCGATGGCCCTCCTGCAAACTGTATCATACCATCGTATGAACGTTGAATGTTGACAGTAGTCGACGGATACACTTGTCTGAGAATTTCCAAGATCACCTCTTCCACATTAGCGCCCTGCTCACTCCTTTGTTGGACAACCGAAAGCAGCTCAAGCATCCACCGGCGTTGCCGCTGACGTCTAGATCGCGCACTGTGAACGATGTCGCTAACGATCCAGTCAGCAAGGCGAGCCAGGGCTTGTTGCTGTGATTTGGATAGCGGTTCCTGTGGTGAATTGGAGGCAACACAAAGGGATCCAAGCGCTACGTGTTCGCCAGACTCGGTCTCAAACCGCAGCGGTGCGCCAGCATATGCGCGAAGCCCGCCTTGATCAACGTGTGGCGACTTCCGAAATCGCCAGTCTTCTGTCATGTTCGCCAGATTGAAAATGCTCTTTCAAAAGTCAGCGTTGGGGCATGTATAAGAGACTGTATAAACCTACACCTGCTGGCTGGTTCAGAGTGTGAGCACACGTGCTCTCACGACGTGGGAGGATTGCCAATGGGAGTCCGACCGTCACCATACGAGTGAACGTATTATGATCGATTAGACCGGCAATAACATATTCCCACCCAGCAGTTTCGCGCGCAAGATGAACTTTTTCCTGGAGTCGCGACATGAGCTCAGTGTCTTCGAGGACACCATGCGTGTAATAAAAGAGCACCGTGAGCCGCAGTCTCTCGTTGGACGTTAACATAGGAAACAAATATTTGTCGACGTCACACGTGACCGGTCGTTCTGGGACAGGTGCTGGCGCCCAAAGATCTGACTTAGTGGGATACACGGCCTCTGCCACCTGTTTGGACCATGGGTCGAGAGGTGTCCTGGCATTTTCGACATCGAGAAGCGGCGCGACTGCCGTCGGGCGTGAGGTTGGTGAAGGTGGAGCATGTTTAGACCGCAGAACGGCAGCATCCGCTTTCGGGAAAAATGGCGTTCGCTGACCATAGACCGGAGGCATCGAGTTTTGCGCGCATCGATAGAACACGCGTCATGGACGGCGTGGCAGTCGCAGCAAAGAATTCCAGGGAGTGCGCAAAAGTAGACGAGGGGCAAGAAGTTGGAAGAAAAGTGGCTTAGCTAAAGTAAAAAGCTACTGGCCCTTTTCCGAGGGCCCGTTAATAGGCCGTTGAGAGTTGCACTTGGCGCTGTGGCCTGAGGTTGGCTGTGAGAATCGATCGAGCACGCCAAAGAAGAACGAAGGAGATTCTGCGAGTCCAGAAGATCGCAGAATGATGCAAGCTCAACGCCGGGGCGATCCCGGTGCTGTGCTGATAATTGCGATGTCGTCTGGCCATTTCGACTGGCCGGGATCGTCAGCCGACCAAGTGCGCCAGAGGACACGCGAAATGTACGTTTCAAGCAAACCTAATCGCAGCACTCCTCACGATCATGTTGTCCAAACCTATTCAATGGGGAATGATGGCAGCATACCAAAGTTGGTTGAGGTGTTGCAGAAAGACGAGCGATGCTACATGGGTAGTGGGCTGGTGTACTCCGCCGGCGCGCCACGCCTCGATAGAAGCCAAGGTCTGGAATACGCACATACCCTTAGTGTGTCCGACGATCGAAGACTAAAGGAATACTAGTACAACTACTATGCAGGTTTCTGAAACATCGTACGATAATCTGGCCCTATCAGTCATAACAACGCGACAGAGACACGATATAAACTGTTCGAATTTGCCACAGGATGCGATCTCCCATCTCGATGCGATCAGTCCTTGCAGAGAAAGGCCGAGGCTATTTTTTGCCTTTTGTGCATCAGACATCTCTACGGACGTTTCCCACGTCGAGATCCCAAAGTGTCCTACCGTCTTGCAGCTCCACAAGGCCACGTCTGGTCCCGGCCGGCTCTACGCTCTGAGACAGGCGGGTAGAGATCTCAACATCCAATGTTGCAGCTTGAAGTTCACATCATATCATGAGTCTGCCAAATGTATCAATATTTCTTCAAGCTCTCATCTCCGCATGTGTTGATGCATCTACTTCGATCCGACTTCTGCCTTCGCCCTTCAATTGGCAAAGATAAATCAGTGGTAGGGTAGCGTTTCACTCATGCTGGCAGGGTCTTGCGCCATTACGATCTCTACACCGATGTCAACCAAAGTCTGCGTCTCCATCAGTCTTGATGTATCAATTCGAGTACTGCATCGTTCGTGGCGAGCTAACATTAGTTGCTCTAAATATCCGGCGTTTCTATACAAAAAATGCTCACAACCATTGTTGACGTTCTTGTAGTACTCTCATCACAATATTTGTAGTATGGATGTATTGGTCGTGATTGCGAATACCTCGGTGCTGAGTCATCATCTATTGCAGCTGTGTTTACGCATTTGGGAAGACTGATGCAGAGTTCAGTAACTGATAAAAGGTGAGAACTACGACGGATAGCGCTCCAGAGTCATGGTGTTTGCCAATATCCAGCTACTGGCTGACGTCTCTTCAGGAAACACTCGGAAACGATATTAACTATCATGGATTGTCTACGACATATCTCAACGCAATCCGGACAAGAATGGAGAAGCGATTGCAACATAATCGGCAAGCTGACGATCGCGCCATATTGCTTTGTTTGCTAGACGAACCCAAGGAATCCTGATACGTTGTAAGTGTCGTGTACTATACATTCGCGATCGAAAGTCAATAACTTGGCGTGATGAACGAGGTCATCGTCGAAAACCCATCACAAACGTCAAACGAAAATTTGACACAAGCTCTACGCCATCCGCTCCTCCTCTGACCGTAATCCTATCAACACGCCCGTTTTCTGAACATCGCCACGAGATATAAAGTCCAGATTACATTCACGAATCAACGGATCAAAGTCTCCACAGATAACACCTTTCGATTGCTTGGTATTGAGTGGATGGAGTGGGTTGCGACAATCCTGCGACACTCAAAACTTCTCTTTACAGCCTCAAGAACCTGGCACAGACAAAACCATACCTGCTTGATAGGCATCAATATCCCAAACCTCGCAGCCTGTATGCCACTAACTTGGTTTTTCCTACAGGATCCCAGGCAGTGAATATATTTGATTGCCTATTGTTTGTATTGGTACTCTATGTTTCGGAGATTCATGCACAAATTGGTTAGTACACCGGATAGGGCGACGAACTGTATCCGGCCCGCCGCCGGCACATCTCCCATGTGTACTAATCGCCGAGACATAAGAGCCTCACTCACAAATTGTTTCAGAATTTTCGCAAACATATGACGTGCGACCCGCCTGTCAGAAGATATGGAAGCATGGAAGTGGTTCGCATGAGGAAGGAACTCTATCTGGTTCCAGAATCCAACGACACATCCTTACCGCGACAGGCACACGAAACGCAAACTGCCTGCCAGTTTCGGCCCTTTATCTTGCGTATTTCAACGATTTTGCACCGAAACCACCAATCAAGCGATCCATAATCCTTTGCGCAATTCCCGCTTCCGTCGCGCGACGGCACCGTTGGAGTTTTGGCCTGTCAACTGTCTAGATCGGTTCGGTCCGACGTATAACTTAATCCCTGTCACCAGCTATCGTCAAATAGATTGCTGGCTGTGGCAGAGCAGGACCTTCCCACCTTGGCCATTCTGAAGGAAATGACAGAAGGGCTGGTCCAGATTGGTAGGCGCTGCAATGCGACTCGTTCCTTGGAGTGCCCACCACGATACAAGCAAAATTTCACGCCACTAATGTTGCAAACGGCCAAATTTTCTTGTTATAAATGTCCCTCCGCTTCCCACTGAAATAAGCATTCAAGCCTTGTCTCTCCCTCCTTCATTCACTTCAACCCAGTCACTCTTTCATCATGCGCTTCTCACTCCTTGCATTCGCTACCGTTGCTCTGGCAGCACGTCCATTCCTTGAGGAGCCAGACACAGGCATTGACGATGCCTTGGGCAACACTCCCGATGGCACACTTCCACCTCTAGAGTCCATGGTTGGGCTTCCGGATTTCCAATGGGCTGCCCGCCGCTACATGAACACGTCGGCATTCACGTACTACCGCAACGGCGCGGCGGGTGAGTGGTCTTACCGCAACAACCTGGAAGTGTTCCAGCGGTTCCCTCTCCGCCCTCGTGTCCTGCGCGATATCACCAATGTCGAGGCGTCGCTGCCCACGACTATCCTCGGATACAACACCTCTGCGCCCTTTTTCATCTCGCCGTGTGCCCGTGGTGGATACGCGCATCCCGATGGTGAGCTCGGTCTCGCCAAGGGTGCGAGTTCAGGCCAAATCTTGTACATGGCGTCGCTCTTCTCGTCGAAGCCCATGGCCGATATTTACGCTGCGGGCAGCAACAGGACGGCGCCGTTCTTCCAACAGGTGTATCTCACCGATGACATGAACGCGACACAGCAGTTGTTCAAGCAGATCGAGGATGTGGGCTCCAAGGCTATTGTCCTGACCATCGACTCTCCCGGCGACGGTATCAGGCACCGTGCTGCGCGCTACAGCGTGGGGTCTGCAGACTCAAGCTTGAGCCTGCTCACGTGGGATTTGTTCCACAAGTACGGCAACATGACCAAGCTGCCCATCATCCCCAAGGGTATTCAGACTGTTGAAGATGCGCGTGAGGCGGTCAACAACGGTGCTAAGGCCATCTTCTTGTCCAACCACGGCGGTCGCCAGATTGACCAGTCTCCCTCTTCGCTCGAGGTTGCACTGGAGATCTACAACAAGGACCCGGATGTCTTCTCCCAGACTGAGGTCTACGCCGATGGCGGTGTCCGCTACGGAACTGATATCCTGAAGCTCCTTTCTCTAGGTGTGAAGGCTGTTGGTGTTGGACGTCCTTTCATGTACGCCAACGTCTACGGTGCTGAGGGTGTAGAGAAGGTCATCGATATCCTGAAGTACGAGCTTTTGAACGACGCGGCCAACCTTGGTGTTGCCGACTTGAAGAAGATTGGTCCCCAGTACGTTAACTGGGCTGCCACAAATGTGTGGTCCCAGTAGATGATGGAGATGTTTTGCAGCTTGGGGCGAAAGGTGTTCAGACTGTATTGGTCTTGCTTGTAGTCCAAAATTATATACCTCTCGTAGTTTCCATATGTTAACAAATTTCAATCACCACCAATATCCTTCATCGAAGATCACTACCTGATTGTGCTCCATGTCTAACATCATCTTTACTCCGGTAGATTGGTGAATTTATGATATGCGTCCTTCATAAAAACACAATTGCGATGTTAGCATATGTTGATATAACCATCATACTGATATAGGAAAACAGATAGTAGGACCAGTAGAATTGAGTTGAAGTCGATATAAGAAATGTGTTGACGCTATCAACAAGTCTCGGAAATTAAACCTAATCCATCTTGTGCAACCTTGAAGGATTTCATCTCGCATGGCTTGTGTGACCGCATGTGTCAAACTTCCCCGAAAGAATCCCGATCTTGCGAGACATGGACGGCATAGCTAAAGGACAGCGATAAGTATCATTAATTGTGTCAACCGTCACCTGTTGACCTGTTGGAGGTCCTCGACCCGGTGGGCATCACGAGACCATCGCATTGTGATATAACCATCCTTGGTTTCTGTGTGCATAGACTTCATTTAGTCGCCACGTTTCGTTCCAGCCGATAAAACGAAGGCGGGAAACCAAGTGTCGTGTACACCGCCATGAAACGATGTTTGTAGCGCGGTTAGACGTTTGAAACGCGGGGAAAACACGACTTCGAGAACGCTACGTCACAGTTTCAGGCACGCCCATCACGGGCAATTTCCCGCATCAACAAGTCTCATGGCGCACCTCATACGCGTAGCCGCTTGCCATGCATCTCCCATCTTCCTCAACGCGCGGAAAACGACTGACAAGGCCGTTTCGCTCATCAAGCATGCCGCGTTGAACAAGGCCAATCTGATCGTGTTCCCGGAGACATACATTTCCGCTTTCCCCATATGGAGCTCCATACGCCCGCCGACAGAGAACCATTCTCTTTTTCAGCGCATGGTGCAGGAATCCGTCTATGCAGATGGCGAGGAGATGGATGAAGTGCGTGAAGCTGCTCGATCGACCGGCACGCTCGTCAGCATTGGGTTCAGCGAGAAGTCACGCCACAGCAATGGCTGTCTGTTCAACTCCAACTTGATCATCGGGACGGAGGGAGAGGTTCTGGTACATCATCGCAAGTTGGTTCCGACGTTCTTCGAGAAGCTGACGTGGAGTCCTGGAGATGGCCATGGGCTGCGCGTCGCTGATACCAAGTTTGGTCGCGTTGGAGCGTTGATCTGTGGAGAGAATACTAATCCACTTGCGCGGTATGCGTTGATGGCACAGGCGGAGCAACTGCATATCTCAAGTTGGCCTGCGATTTGGCCGACGAGAGTTTCGCAGAAGGAGGTGGAAGAGAAGGAGGAAGATGGTTTGAAGTCGCTCAAAAAAGGTGGTGTGAACTATGACAATCTTGCTGCCAACAAGACGCGCCTAGCAGCACACTGCTTCGAAGCAAAGTGTTTTGGCGTTGCTTGCTCTGGACACCTGAATACAGACGCGATTGAGGCAGTCGTGAATGATGCAAGCCAGCCTGATGTCGTAGCTGAGACACTACGATCTATGCCTCGCGCTGCAACATTTTTTCTCAACCCCACGGGCTCTCCACTGTCAACCTTCACGTTCAAAGAACAGAGTACGGTAGCGCAAAATGTCGAGTATCTCCAGAACGAAGAGGGTATACTGTATGCCGACATTGATTTTGACGAGTGCATTGAGGGCAAACAGTACCACGATGTTGTTGGCGGCTACCAACGGCTGGATGTCTTCGACTTGAAAGTTGATCGCTCGAGGAGGGATCCAGTTACATTTTCCGAAACAACCAGGAAGCTAGAGTAAAACCGCAGTCAACGACCTGAAGCGTGACTTCATTCAACGTAGAGAGGTACAGTCAAGGCCAGAACGCTTCGACTCATATCAACTCATATCGGTACCTGCTTTGGATGATTGTGACTCAGAGACATATCACCTTCCACGGGTATCGAAGTACTCTTGCTCTAAGTCACAGTCGTGGCAACTTCAACAATCGAACATATCCCGCAGCGAGATGTGATTCACTCCTGTCCAGCGCCTCCCTACACTCCGCATAAAGACACCGCACCTCTTCCGCCACACTTCCTCACCTCGCCATCCAAATCCCGCCACCTACAGCGAAACCCCCCCTCAATCCAAAGCCCCCCAATCATCCACCCCCATAACCCACCCCAACACACCCAATGTCGACCCGCACCTCCCAAACCGTCTCCTACGCCGCCCTAGTCCTCGCCGACGACGCCCTGCCCATCACCCCGAGAACCTGCAAGCGCTCCTCAGCGCCGCGAGCATCACGGACGTCCAACCAATTTGGATTGTACTCTTCGCCAACGCACTGAAAGACTAGGACGCCGGGGAGATATTGACTGCGGTTGCGGATGAGGAGCCTCGGCGTGATGCGGTGGGGGATGAGGTGGATGGAGTGGGAGAGGAGATTGTTGATTGTAGGTGTGGGTCGGATAGTGAGGATGATGCGTTTTGTAGCTTGTTTGACTGAGGGTGCGGGTGTATGGGTGTCGAATGGGAAGCGTCTGGGGGGCTTGGGATGTCATGGCAGGGACTGGGTTGATTGGAAGTATGCTTTTCAAGTACATGTTCTATGTTGTGCGACTTTTTGTTTGGTGTGTTTGTGTGGAATGTTGGTATTAGGACTTCATGCACGAATCTGCGTGGTCGTATGATTACTTACACTCTCGTGTCTTGTTCCTTAAATCTACGACTGAAGGATCTGATGAGTTAGGAAGCACCAATACACTGTCATACTCAGTTCCTAGAATGTAGAGATGCTGCCTAGACTGTAAAAAACATCTAGAACAGAACGACGTCTTATTTCATGGAGATGTTTGGACGAAAAACTAAGCGTACATATATTTGACGAGTTCTTAAGAAGTACAGAGTGTGTATTTGTCAATACTGGCATATGATTCTTGCACATAGCCAAGCGAGAAAATCGGAATAAAAAATTATGGTTCATTTTCTCTTGCCCTTCGAAATCATATATGTTACTTGGGCGTCTGGAGAACTGGTCGGGATGTAGGTGTGAAGATAAGGATGAAAAATTGCAAAGGTACATGCGTAAGAATCTCATATTATGAATTGATGTTCGAGTCCAGTCCAGCCTTTCAAGACGCAAGAACATTTTATTGCTGGGTTCTCAAAATACTTAGATGTTTGAGTAGCGAATAGATGTAGGAGATCTCGATGAAGTGTAAGTGTCAACGATTGCTCTGAGCCAATCAGAGGACAAACATATAGAACATGTCTTGGCGTTGTCATCAACGCTTCGAACTTCAGACCCGCCACGACCACGACCACGCTCGCCCGAGCCCCAATTGCACGCGACACGCTCAACACGGCACCCACGATGCTCGCCCGACACGCCCCCGCGCCGACGACGCTCAGCGCAGCCGCCCACCGAGCGCTGCCCGCTGCTTCTGCCGCCGCCGCCGCCTCTCGCCTTTCGACGGCCGGCACACCCTCGCGCACACAGAAGAGGAGCCTGGCCACGGTGCAGGACACGCCGGTGCAGCGGACATATGGCGGGCTCAAGGACCAGGACCGTATCTTCCAGAACCTGTACGGCCACCATGGCGCCGACCTGAAGAGCGCCATGAAGTACGGCGACTGGCACAAGACCAAGGAGATTCTGCTCAAGGGCCACGACTGGGTGTGTGCAGTGTGAGAGGATGGGAGCCATGCGAGCTGGGGCTGACGGGACACAGATCATTTCCGAGGTCAAGGCCTCTGGGCTGCGCGGGCGAGGCGGTGCCGGTTTCCCCTCTGGCCTGAAATGGGTAGGCAGTTCGGCGACAACGTAGGGAGACACGACGCTGACGCCGTGACAGTCGTTCATGAACGCAAAGGGCTGGGAAAACGACACCAAGCCCCGCTATCTGGTCGTCAATGCCGACGAGGGCGAGCCCGGCACGTGCAAGGACCGCGAGATCATGCGCAAGGACCCGCACAAGCTCATCGAGGGCTGTCTCGTTGCCGGCCGCGCCATGAACGCCACGGCCGCCTACATCTACATCCGCGGCGAGTTCTACCACGAGGCTGCCGTGCTTGAGCGCGCCATCCAGGAGGCTTACCAAGCTGGCTTGATCGGCAAGAACGCCTGCGGGTCCGGTTACGACTTCGACGTCTACGTCCACCGCGGCATGGGCGCCTACGTGTGCGGTGAGGAGACGTCCCTCATCGAGTCGCTCGAGGGCAAGCCTGGAAAGCCCCGTCTCAAGCCCCCGTTCCCCGCTGCCGTTGGCCTGTTCGGATGCCCATCGACCGTCGCCAACGTCGAGACGATTGCTGTCGCGCCCACCATCTGCCGCCGAGGAGGCAACTGGTTCGCTGGCTTCGGCCGTGAGCGCAACCAGGGCACCAAGCTGTTCGCCATCTCCGGCCACGTCAACCACCCCTGCACCGTCGAGGAGGAGATGTCCATCCCCCTCCGCGAGCTGATCGACCGACACTGCGGCGGCGTCAAGGGCGGCTGGGACAACCTCCTCGCCGTCATCCCCGGCGGCTCCTCCACCCCCGTCCTGCCCAAGCACATCTGCGAAGACCAGCTTATGGACTTTGACGCGCTCAAGGACTCGCAGTCTGGATTCGGTACCGCCGCCGTCATCGTCATGGACAAGTCAACAGATATCGTCCGCGCCATCACCCGCCTCGCCAAATTCTACCACCACGAATCTTGCGGCCAGTGCACGCCCTGCCGCGAGGGCTCAAAGTGGACCCACCAGATCATGGACCGCTTCGAGAAGGGCCAGGGTCGCGTTCGTGAGATTGATATGTTGCAGGAGCTCACTAAGCAGGTTGAGGGTCACACGATTTGCGCTCTTGGTGAGGCGTTTGCGTGGCCGCTGCAGGGGCTCATCAGGCATTTCAGACCTGAGCTCGAGGCTAGGATGAAGGATTATGGTGTGCAGAATGGAGGGGCGGCGTTGGCGGGCGGTTGGGCGCATGATGCTGCGAAGAGGGGGCAGTTGGTTGCGCCGGGTCAGTAGGGAGATTGCTTAGTCGATTTGTTATCGCTGCGTTGAGTTCGCTGCTGAGTGTATATATGGGGAGATTTTATCGCAACCTGCTTCTTCGACTGAATGATTGACTGATTCATATCATTGAACTACCCTGGTATATCTCACCCCTCCGCCATAAACAAAAAAACGCCCTCCATCCAACACTTCATCCCAAACAGATACCCACAAACTCCTCGCGACTAATCGCATTATCCCCATCCATATCAAACTCCTCAATCATCGCAACAAGCTCATCATGACTCAGCCCCTCGCCCAGTTCCCGCGCCACACGCGTAAGATCCTGCAGCGTAATGCGTCCCTTCCCCCCCTCATCAAACAGCTCAAACGCTCTTAAAATCTCCTCCTGCGGATCGCGCGACAAAATGCGCTGCGCCATCAACGTCTGGAAAGCCTGGAAACTGAGCAATAGTCTAGGCTGCGCTGCATTTCCCCCCGGCGCCGCGTTCCCCGGTGCAGCAACCCCATACCCCTGCAGTATCCCCAATATCTCCGCCTTCGGCAAATCGAAACCCAGCGCTTTCATCGCGACTTTCAGCTCGTGGTAGTCGATGTAGGTGTCTTTATCGAGGTCGAAGAGGTTGAATGCTTCGCTGATTTCTTCGCGTTGTTCCTCGGAGAGCTGTGCGAGGCTGTTTTGTGCGGCCGCGTCGAGGCGTGCTTGTTCTGTGCGGGACTTTCGGGAGGCTTCGAGGCGGTCGGAGTCGTGGCGTTGCGCGGTTTTGTTGAGCGGTTGTTGTTGGGTGGGGGCCGGGGGTGGGGGCCGGGAGAGAGGGTAGCGGGGGGCGAGGGGGGGGTTTGTGGACGTCGCCATTTTGGGGGGGTGCGTGTAGTGGGTGTTTGGTGTGGTGTGGTGTGGTGGACGAGAGGGTTGTGTGGTGGATGAGGTGAAGTCGTTGTGGTCCAAGCTTAACACATTCAAGGATTAAGTTTCATAGGACGTAGGTGGCAGTGGGGTGTTGTTGTTTTTGGTGACTTTTGGCTAAGTTGCGGTGGAGGTGGACGCGTCGAACTTGAGAGCTTGGCTTAGCGCGTTTTGGTGATGGGGCTAGAGTGCTTTGGTTTGGGCTGCTGTTAGGTTGACATTCGTAGAGTTGGAGCAAGGTTGAAAGGATTTGCAGACGGTGAGAGCAGACGTGCAATATCTTGGCGATAGAGGGGTTATCAATTCAATCAGAGTCGTCTTTGAGGTTGAATGTCAAGTGGAGGGTTGTTGTTGTCAATGTTCATTGTCATTGTTCAGGCAGAGGCAGATGCCAGGCAGCCATAGGTAACGCCAGGAATCTATGCAGGCAGCTGTCAGTGCCACCACAGCTTGAAAAACATCGTCCGTCATTGGTCAATGACTACATAACTTTCTTAACCTCGACGAATCATGAACAATCCAGCTTCACCACGTGACTTTGGTTAAGCTCGCTGGGCACGTGCACATGGAGAACGCTTCTTGTCGTGCTACGCAGTCCATCGCCCCTTCACTCCAGTGACGGGCATTTCACTACTTAATCCGTGAGCTTTCAGGCTTCTTCCGCTCTTTAGATTCTATCCCACTGCGTTACTTTGCAGGCCCCGCCGCGCTTGCTGCATTTCCCTAGCGCGTTTCTTTCCCGCGAAGCTCTTCAGCACGCTCGCATCTCCTTCACCTCACCTCGCCAGCTGCACTTGCATCAACCAACCGCGCACACGCGAACATCCTTCTGCGCATTGCTAGCCAACCAAGACGTCACGCGCACACCCGCTGGGTACGGTCAATATGTCTTTCGGCGGCGGTTTTGGGGGCTTTGGCTCCAACAACAACAACCAGCAGGCTAGCAGCGGCGGCTTTGGATTTGGGGCGACCAACAACAACGCCAACAACGCTTCGACTGGTATGTACATCCTCTTCTTTTGATTCTTGCGACAAGACATCGCGCGACGGTCGACGATGCGCCTGATGAACCCGCACCGCGGCTCTCGCCAAACCGTGTCTAATCCCCCCTCTGCGCCAGGCTTCGGCTCCAATGCGAACAGCGGTGGCATGTTCGGCTCGAACAACAATGCTACCACGGGAAGCAACATGTTCGGCGGAGGCGCCAGCACCAGCACGAGCTCTCCTTTCGGGGGTGGAGGTACGTCGAAAGCTTTGCGCGTCGCAGTCGCGTCATCGTCCCGGCTTTTGCGTTTGTCGGGCTGCGGTCACGACTGCTGCTCGCCTCGATGGCGTCTCCCTGTATTGCGAGCGGTTGCGATTGTGTTATCGATTCTGCGCGTGGACTTTGTCGTCATCAGCTGTGTGCCCAGTGCGAAAGCTAACATGTACTTTTCCAGGTGGATTTGGTGCTAACAACACCGCGAGTTCAACCGCATTCGGCTCGAAACCATTCGGTGGCGGAACATCTGGCGGCCTCTTTGGCGGCAGCGGGACGTCTGGCTCGACATTCGGCGGCTTTGGTGCCTCTCAACCTAGCAACACGACGTCAACATTCGGCGCCGCTAATAACAACAACAACACAGGTGGAAGTCTTTTCGGCCAGAACAAGCCTGCCTTCGGTGCAGCAGCAACGACTGGGAGCGCGTTTGGTGGTGGAAGTACAGGCGGGGGATTTGGCACTGCGACCAACACCACGGGAGGGTTCGGTAGCTCGGCTGGTGGCTTTGGCGCTGCGGCTGGTGCTCAGCAGCCCAACAACGGTACCGCGAGCACGCCCTTTGCTGCTCACGTCGAGAAGGATGGCCCCTCGGGGTCCTCGACACAGCACTTCCAGACCATTGCCTTCCAGCAGCCGTACCAAAACTACTCTCTGGAAGAGCTGAGGGTGGCCGACTACAACCAGGGGCGTCGATACGGCAACCAGAACGGCCAGGCAGGCGCATTCGGCCAGAGCACTGGGTTTGGTGGATTCGGTGCCGCCAACAACACCAACACCCCCGCGGCCACCGGCTTTGGAGCTACCGCAAACACAGGCACCACCGGCGGTCTCTTTGGGGGCGCTAACAACAACACCTCGACGTCGGCGTTTGGCCAGAACACTGGATCAGCATTCGGCGCGAACAACAGCAGCAGTGGTGGGCTTTTCGGTCAGAACAAGCCAGCCACAGGCGGTCTGTTTGGAGGAGCAGCCGCTACCCCAGCCCCTGCGACTGGCGGTCTCTTCGGCGGCGGCGCCTCGACGACCAACACGACGGGTGGCTTTGGCTCAGGCGGCGGATTCGGAGCGTCAGCACCAGCAGCGGGCGGCCTTTTCGGTGGCAGCAACACCAACACAACGGCCCAGGCTAAGCCCTTCGGTTTCGGAAACGCTGCCCCCACCAACACTGCCTCAACTCCCTTCGGCGGCTCGACTAACACTGGCGCCTTTGGGCAGTCGAACACTGGAGGTGGGCTCTTTGGCGGAAACAACCAGGCTTCTGCTGCGCCTGCTTTCGGTGGGAGCACAGCCACTGCAAACACTGGCGGCGGGTTGTTTGGTGGTGGCGCCAGCACAGGCGCCTTTGGTCAGACCAACCAAGCGCAGAACACACAACAGTCTGGAGGTCTTTTCGGCGGCGGTGGTGGTGGTGGCTTCGGCCAGAACACCCAGAACCAGCAGAAGCCGGGAGGTCTTTTCGGAGGCGCCAGCACAACCACTACCGGAGGCGGTCTATTCGGACAGTCAGTCAACCAGCCACAGCAGTCTGGAGGCTTGTTTGGAGGATCTGCGGCGAACACAAACACAGCTGGAGGAGGAGGCCTGTTTGGCGCGAAGCCTGCCGCTGCAGGAAACAGTCTGTTTGGCGGGAGCACGGCCAACACAGGGGGTTCCACTGGGGGCTTGTTCGGTGGCCTTGGTGGACAAGCCAACCAGCAGAGCTCCGGGAGCAGTCTTTTCGGCGGCCAGAACAACCAGCAGAAGCCTGGAGGCCTGTTCGGAGGCTCCACGACCAACAACAACACTGGTGGCTCTCTATTTGGCGGTATGGGACAGAGTACCAACAATAACCAGTCCAACTTGGGCGGCTCGTTGTTCTCTAGCCAGAACCAGCAGCAGCAAAATCAGCAACCCAACAACAACAGCCTGTTTGGTGCTTCTGGAAGCTCTTTGCTGAGCACGTCTATGAACACCAACCCCTATGGTAACGATGCTCTTTTTGCTGGACTTGCCGCACCATCCCAGAATCTCGGCCCCATTGCAACCCCACTCTCGAGCAGTCAGAAGAACAAGAAGACCGCCATCCTGCCGCAGCACAAGCTGAACCCCGCTGCGTCCACACGTCTCCTGACACCGCAAACGAAGAGGCCCGGTGGTTATGGATTTTCGTACTCGAGCTACGGTACCCCGAGCAGCGCATCACCCGCGTCTGGAGCAGGCTTCTCCAGCAGCCTCTATGGCAGTGGAAACTTTTCACGCTCTCTTGGAATTAGCGTTTCGTCAAGCAACCTGCGCAACAACTACAACCCGGAAACCAGCATCCTGGCGCCAAACGCATTCTCTACTACCGCACGCCCCACTGGTAACGGCAGTCTGAAAAGGCTGAACATCAACCGACAGATTAGTCGTACCCCGCTGTTTGATGACGCATCCCCCAAGCATGTTAGCTTCGACGAGAACGTCAATCCTACCTCCAATGGCGAGACTGCAGTGGTTTTGCGGAGGGATGATGCAGATGCTTCTCCGAGGGCTATCAACGGCAATGAAGGCAGCAAGACTCGCTCTCCAGAGGGCAGCGGTACTGAGTTGGCTCGTGTGACTGAAGGTGATGCTCTGACACCAAGGTCATCGTCGTCCATCAATGCTCAGTCGAACGAGGACCCAATACCCGGTGCTTATTGGTCCAGCCCCACTCTCGACCAACTGAGGAAGACCAGCAAGCAAGAGCTGAAGGAAGTTCGCAACTTTGTCGTTGGTCGCCACAACATTGGACAGATCGAGTTTAACATGCGTGAGCCTGTTGATCTGTCTGAAGTCAATCTCGACAAGCTCTACGGTGACATCGTCCAGCTGAACCACCGCAATGCTACCGTCTATGGCGAGACGTGCACCACCCTACCCAAGCCTCCGCTCGGCACTGCTCTGAACCGACCATCTCTTATCACTCTGGCGAACTCGTGGCCTCGCAACAAGGCTGGCAAGAAGGATGTCAAGCACCTTGAGCGTCTCAAGCGAGTACAGGGTACCACCTTTGTCAAGTACAACGCTCAGAACGGCGATTGGACCTTCACTGTTCCTCATTTCTCTTCGTACGGGCTCGACTACGAGGGCGAGGAGTACAGCGATCTGGATGATGAGGAGTCAAGTGAGCTGAGCGACGTCCCCGATACACCCGCTCAAACTCAACTCAACACCAGCCAGATGACGAGCACGCCACAAGAGTCTTCCGTTCTCAGCCCTGACTACTCCAGCCCTGACGACACATTCGACTTCAAGAAGGGCATGCGTGCGCGAGCCAGCGTTCCCGGAGGCTTCAGTGACGGAGTGAGCTATGAGGAAGATGAAGAGATGGAAGAATCACAGGGCGAGTCTTTTTTAGGGCATCGCTCCGTGGGTTCGCTTGATGGTCAGCAGGAAGCTGAGTATTCTGAGAGCGAATCCGAATTTGCCCAAGATCAGAGTATGGCGGACTCTGTATCCGGACCAATTCACACCACGGAGCAAGCATCCGCTAAGGAGTCGGATCCTTTCAGGGGGTCGCTCAAACCAAAATCGATCCTCAAGGCTAGTCAGGTCACGAGGCCTGGTTTTGGCACTCCATCGAAAGGAAAGCCTGTTTTTGACGACGATTGGGCGAACCAACTCCAACGGACGATCAGCCCTAAGAAGCAGGATCGCCAGGCCTTGCGCGAGACTCAAAGCAATGGCATGCGAGAACACGAGAGCATTGATTTGAAGTTGTCACAGTCTGTCGGCAGACGAACGCTCACAACACCCATGGATTTGATGGAGTCTCTCTTCGGCGAGACGGAGAAGCACCAGTCTCCAAAGCGAGCTGCGCACGGTATTGAGGTTTGCCTTCCCCTTTCTTCGTTTTGATTATGTTTGATGGCGGACGTAATGTTGTTTGGATTTCCATATACGGTTTCCTTCGTAGATTGCCCATCTTGTATGTAGTTACAAATTGATACGGGACAAGATTGCTGAAACTCTTGTCTCTAGTTACCCTACTCGAAACGACCCAAATCCTCTTACGATCTCGACCAGCTGAGCGAAGCCGACAAAGACTTTCACAACTGCAGTAAGCCTCACTTCAGCGAATCTGGCATCCTCATCTATGGCAACAAGGGCCCTGCGACTCTCGAGAAAGGTGCTTTTCCCACAGCCCAGGAACCGCTCATCGGCGCCACAAAAGATATTCGCTTCATGCAGATGCCCGTCTTTGCTGATGTAAGATTGATCCCATCTTTTCGTGACACACAATACTGATTATGCACAGGCCGTACCCGAGACTCTAGCACTGCAAAAGCAGCGCACAAAAGTCTTCACTACTGATGGCGCGCCCTTTGCGACATTACAGGCGGACCCAGCCCCGGTAGAGTTTTCAGACATGGCTAGAGCCGTCGCGATCGACACAACAGCAGGTGTTCACGAGCAGCACGTCTGGCAGTTACTGTCTCTTCTCTTCGACGATGCTGACAAGTTACCGGGTGGTGTGGATGTCGAACACATCGAGGTCTACAGAAAAGAGAAGTTTGCCGATTGGTGGAAGGAGATTGTTTGGAGTGATGCACAGAAACATGCTCAACAAGCGGTCTCGCCAGAGGAGCGAGCCATCGCACAACTCAGCTGCAACAATGTCGCCGACGCCTGCCATGCCCTGATCGAAGGGTTGGATCTTCGACTGGCCACGATGGTTGCACAAATCGGTGGTGACGCCAGTATGCGTGAGAGCATGACCAGTCAACTCGAGGAGTGGCGTCGCCTGGACATGCTGTCCGAGATGCAAGATTCACATCGCGCTCTGTATGAACTGCTTTCTGGCAACTGCATGCAGGCCGAAGGCAAGACGGGTACGGGGAGAGAGAACCGGGCATCCACCTTCAACATCTCAAGTCGTTTCGCGCTAGACTGGCGGCGTGCTTTCGGTCTTCGTCTCTGGTACGGCACCATGGCTGAGGAGTCTCTTGACTCGGCTATTGCGCAGTTTGCAGATGCAGTCAAGGAAGGCAAGGAGGACGTCAAGCCTGTACCTTGGTTCGTTGAGGCGAGTGCGGATATGGGCTGGACAGATTCGCAGGCGGAGAACCGTGAGGACTTGCTTTGGGGCATCCTCAAGCTTTACACTTCGTCCAAAGCGGATGTCTCTGCGAACCTGGAAGACGTCTTGGCTCCGGAGAACGTTTCGGGTCACCCTTTGAACGCTCGCTTGTCGTTCCAGCTGTTCCAGCTGTTCAAGTCGCGACAAGAAGATGCAAGTGAAGCAGATGAGCGCAAGGTCAGCATGCCCACGCTTGGTGGCATTGGCGAAGACTCGTTCATGTCGACTATCCGTGCATCTCCCGCAAGAGACACGCAGATGGAGACTCCACTCGTTGAACTCGGCGACAAGATCACACTCACATATGCCGCGTCGCTGCACACGCCGCAGCACTGGACAACGGCTATCTGGGTGTATGCGCATCTGTCTTCCCCGGCAATGCGCGAGCACTACATCAAGGCCCTGCTCAACCAGTACTCCAGCGCCTACTCCCTCGTCGGCACAGACTCAACATACACCTACCTCACCCAAGACCTGCACGTCCCAACAACCTGGCTCCACGCCGCAGCCGCCCTCCAAGCCAAGACCAAAAACGACGCCGTCCGCCAAGCCACGCACCTCATCAAAGCCGACGAGCTCAACGAAGCCCACGAAGTCCTCTGCCGCAAAGTCGGCCCCGAAGCAATCATCTCGCGCGACTACGACGCCCTGCGCGACCTCATGCACGGCTTCGTGCCCTCCCCCCCAAACAGCCCCGTATCCGCCTCCTCCTCCGTGCACAGCAGCGCCGTCGCGCGCCGCGCCGAACCAGTCCAGGGCTGGGCCCAGGGCGGCCAGATCTACTTCGACTACATGGCGCTCATCGACTTGTCCGCCCAGCGCTCCACGTACCGCGTCGACGAAGACCTGGACGCTGAAATCGACGACTTGCTCGCGAAGCTGCAGAAGGCGCTGGAGATTGCCGCGCGGGATCGACTGGAATCTTGTGCGATTGAGGAGCGTGTTGCGCTTATGGAGATTGCGGGCGTGGTTGCGAATCGTGTTGCGGAGACGGAGGTATGTTTTTCTTCACTTGTTGGAGATGGAGATGTGGTGGGGGAATGCAGACTAACGAAAGTACAGAATGGTAATAAATCGCATATTCTCCGCCTGCCGCTCACGGAGGATTTGTGTCTTAGGCATGCGTGCCATTTGAGCACGGATTATTATCGCAAGGTTATGGGGAGGAGCGCGTAGGTTTTGACTTTGCTCATGGTTTTGTGTGGATGTGGATGTTAGGTTTTCTTTCTTGGGTTGGGTTAATTCGTTGCCTTGGGGTTTTTTTTCGCGCGCGCATGGAAAAGCTGAAGGAGAGAGGAGAGGATATGTGTGTGTCCTTGTATAATACGATATGATAGAATGGCAGATTCGTTAGCTAGCTAGCTTGGTTTTTTTTTGCTCTTGGGTTTAGTTTTGTGTTATGTACTGTATGCTATGATAGGGATGGGGTAAGTAATACATTCCGTCGTTTGACTTGGTTACATGGTCACCTTTTCTCCCTATGTGTGATGCAAATTACCCACCTTAAGGATGGAGACCACAACGCCTCCTTCCATTCACCAAGAGACATACAGACGAAGAGTATGCAAATAATACGATATATTCAGTCCCTCTTCCCCCACGTCTTACTACTACTAACTAACTACCACTAACCACCAACCCTACATGATCTCATCCCATCCGATCCAGCTTGACACCCACTAATCTAAGAAAGAAAGCCCGCACAAAAAGATCCAGACCGATACACCCCCCATCTGGCACGCATAGAAAAGACACAAGACACAAACGCCAAACCAACCAACCTACGAGTGAACGTAAAAAGCCCCTTCCCCGCCCAAATGCGACGCCATTATAAAAACCAAACAAACAAGGAAGCAAGCTAGGAAGCGGGTAATCAATCTGGTAAGTAGCGTAGATGAACAAACAAAGACAAAAGACAGGCAGAAAAAAACAACGCCAAGAGTGAAGATGTTGAAAAAACACGCCGAATCAACGCCGAAAAACACAATAAGTCATCACCTCAACCACGGCGACCCCTTCCTCCCCGCGCTACCTGTACTCGCGCCGCCGCGGCCCTCCTCGATACTGCGTCGTGACGCCGCAGCGCCAATCTCGCTCATCTGGAAGAGCAAGGGTTCGTCGTCGTCGGCGGCGGCGGTGCCACGGCTGGAGAAGTTATATCGACTCTGGCGTTCCGTCGAGCTAGTAGCGCCGGTGGACAGGCTGGTAGACGAGCTATGGGAGAAGAAGCCCCCGCGGCCGCGGGAGCTGACGCCGCGCTTAGGGGGTAAGTTGGAAGTCGGGGAGGGCTGCGCGTCGTCGGATGGGTTTGTGGGTTGGGGTTTGTCGCGGGTAGCGCTTGCGAGGAGCTCTGTTTGTGTGAAGAGGCCGCTGGAGGTTAGGTTGCGGGTTGTGAGGCGCTGCATGTCTCTTGCGCCTTCTGCTTCTTCGGTGGGGAGGCTGGTGGAGCGCATGCCGAAGAGGTCTGGTTCGTCTTCGGGGAGGTTGCGGTGCTGCTGCGAGACGGAGCTGGAGCGGCGGGAGACGTTCCAGGGGCGGGGCGAGGTGGGGATGTTGATGCCGTTTGCGTTTTGGTCTTCGTCCTCGCTCTGCTGGCGTACGTTGGTCGCGTTTGGCTCACGCAATGTCCGTCGAGCTCCGCTCCGACTTCGGTGAGGGCGTGGCTCGTATTCGATGATGCTGTTTGCACTCAATCGAGAAGGAATGGCTGGGGTGTGTGGGGTGTGGGGCGAGATGGGCTTTCCAAACGAGGATGCCGTCGATACAGAGGTGCCAGCAATCATTGCAGGTACGCTGGACAGTCGTCGACTGGAAGATGGCGAAGTCTGGTGGAGCATCACGGATGACGATACCGAGTCGGAGAGTGCCGTGTGCGAATCTCTCATGCGTTGGTATTTGGACAGTTGGGCCGTCGTCTTTCGCATGTTGGCATCTCGAGCAGCGTTGTCGCTCCGTGTAAAGCTCTTCAAGTCCTTCTTGGCCTCTAGCAACTTCAAAAAATCTGAGATGTTCTCGTCGTCCGTCTTGACCTCTCCTGAACTGCCGCCGGACCCGTCATTCATGACGTCTGAGCCTCTTTGTATGGATGAGGCCACGCTACCCTTGCCACTGCTCAGATTATCGTCTTCAGTCTTGCTGTTTGCACCACCCGTAGAGAACCTGTTCTTTCTATGACCAAAGCTGCTACTATAACGGGCTATTGGTGCAGGTTTTGGCGAACTTGATGCTGAAGAAGCAAAGGCGGCCTCGTTTGGCAGTGAAGGTGTTCTGAGCGCTGTTTGCGGGAGAGCAGTGAGTGATGTTCGGTTGCGCGGTTGATTTAACGCGCTTGTGGTGGCAGTCCGACCTAATGAGCTCCCGGGCCTTCCAAACGAACTGCCTGGAGAAGGGGGAACAGCAGAACCGGGAGCAGGCGACGATGATAGCGACCCGGCTTTGAACGGTTGGAATGACACGGACGTTCGTCGGGGGTATGATGGTGCTTCTGTAGATCGAAGGGAGGATTTTGAGCCTTGTGCGATTCGATGGTTTGGTGGAAGCTTCTGTGGCGGAGTTTCGGTGGGCGAAGATGATGGCATGTCTCGAACAGCTCGGAGAGCCGATATTGGACTCGCTCCTGTTGGGGGACCAACCTGGTGAAACGTTGACAGACTACCATAAGCTGTTCCAACGTCAGGCGTTTCCTGGGCATTGATCTTGTCGACGGGAGCGGACCCAGGCGTCTGCACTGCACGATGCGACTGTTCGAAATAAGTGTCGTCCAGGCCCATGAACTGGGAGCTCAGAAGCGATTCGGAATCATCGACGCTGAACTCGCAGTTGGTACGATACTGCACCGATATGCACAACGGGCCGATAGGGGAGTTGGAAGGCGTGAAGTCTTGCTGTTCGGTGATGGCTTCCGGGGACGGGTATAGTGGTAGGCTCAGTGTGTCTGTGTGTGGGGTTTTGAACTGGCCGTTGGTAATGCGGTAGTTGAGTTTGAGCGCGGGGTGGTTCGCGGGTTGCTTGGCCATGCTCTTGTAGTACTTGAACGCCGGTATGAAGCGGAGATAGGCATATAGCGATCGAAAGAGGACAACTGCCTTCTTGTACACGTTGGGCAGCGGGTCATCAAGCTCCGAGGGATGCACCACGTGTTTGTCTCCTACTTGTATCTTCCAGCGCTCCAGTACAACCTGCGTAGGCCTGCTTGCGCGACTCAGAGGCCGGCCAGTGGATTCGGCAGCATTCATGGCTCCAGCCACGTCCCATCTCTTCCCGTGCTCGTCATGTATGACCAGCGACTGCTTGTGTCCGAGACCCTTGATGTCCAGGTACACCTCGATGTACATGGGTGGATGGAAGCCGGCCATGGCGTCCATGGTCTTCCATTCTGCGAGGTCTTGCTGGAGGACGTCCGTGTCGTCGAGCACGACGTTGAACTGCAGCGCCTGTTAGCTGGGTTAATGTGGAGATGGGGAGGGACGACGCACCCATTTGTTCTGCTTGAGGTCGCCGTTCTTGTTGTAGGCTTGGGGCAGGATGACGCGGGACGAGACGATGGTGAGGGCTGCTTTGGTGAAGAAGTTCTGGGACCTGTCAGCATACATCTCCCATGGCTGGTTGCATCCTGGTACGTACCTGTATGACCTGGTTGACCTTCTGGTAGTGCTTCTGGTCCGACTCGGCCAGGTGGTCGCCGCGGGTCACCATCTCGCCTTCGCCTTCTTCTCCCCCGCGGTCGCTGTAGGAAGCTGTGTCGGAAGATGGGGAGCCCTCTCTGGGCTGATTCCGCTGGTTGTTGGTGCGTGTAGGGTTCGTCTGGAGGTTGTTGGCCGCCGAGGCTGTGCGCGGGGAGGGGCGCTGGTATGGATGCATGGCGGGCGACCCTCTGCAGGAACAGGCACAGGGTGTATCGCGTGTCTGTGATCAAGTGCGGGTGTCTAGGGCGATTATCGTTGCGGCGGAAAGAGGCGAGTGATGAAAGCCATCACGAGTTCAGTCGGCTGAGCAGGAAGCAGTCAGGACAAGTACCCCAATGGTCCACGCGCGGGGAATGTCTCGAGGGTGTGGGCGCACTCAGGCAACAGCAGTGATATCCAGGCTTATACGAGTAGGGTGAAGAGCGGCGATGCAGCGGAGCCTCAGGCGCGCGGAGATAAGGCTGAAATAAGTGTCTCGATGCAGGCCGAGATGCACTGGGATACAGACTCGATACACAGCACACTGGATGGGTCAAGAGAGGCCCGGCAAGCTGAGGGCTGAGTCAAGGACCGTTGAGCCCCGATCTTGTGACTGTTCCGGATGACGCTTCGCTGATAGCAGATAGCTCCAGTCTGGACAGGCCAAGGGACGACACAGCAGCCACGCAGAAGAGAGGAGCAAACGTGGCCAGGGCGTCGAGGGCTGCATGTACCTCGACGGTTTCGTGCTCCGTCGATGCTCTGGCGCAAATGGAGCTGTTCTGCTTGTGGAGCAAGCCTGACTGACGTCTGCTTGGAGCTGTGGAGTTGCAGCCTCACAACGCTCGAGCGTGCGCCGCTAACGGCTTGGAGAACACCATTCCCCAGCTCCGGCGATGAGCTTCAAGCTCCATCCACCTCCGAGCACGTCAATCGAGCTGATGTGCTGCATCGGGACGCGCAACTTACAGCCGTTGTCCCCGCAACTGCGCACTGGCACTAGCTACTGGTGAATCCTCGCCCGTCATCCCCGCGACATTGCACGCCATTTGCCAGCCGTGCGTCATTCGACGCTTCACCTTTTTATTTTTACAGCCTCAACCCGTCGAGGCTCCGCAGCGAGCGTTGGCCGGTAGCACACGATTCACCCTAAGCTCCCCGTGTAACTGCTATCACCGCCTTTGTCGTGCCTCTGGGCAGCCCAACCTCCGCGTGGACAGATACGTCCGTTGTACAGCATCAGCTCAACATGCTGGCGGTCAGTGACATGGCCTCCTTCAACTGGCTTCTTGCATCATTATCGCTCCGAGGAGTGCGTCTTATCATGAAAAAGCAACAATCTCTGCGGTTGGCGTCTATATCTACCCATTGCGAGGAGCGCTGTACATGCGACACGTATTATCCACCTGTTTGCATGCAGTTGACGCTTATGTAGACTGGTACCAGGTTCAAGGATTGGCAACTAGTCTTTGGATCATCTTGTAGAGACCGGATGAGAGTCTGCGTGCACAAGCTCTTGGTAAATCATGAACAGAGTGCATATTTGGCGATTGCCACGTTCCACAGAGCCTCTCGCTGGCAGTGCGCGAGAGTCGGGAGAAGCTGCGTCTTGACGCGAGATGCTGGCAACATTGGCCATGTATGGATTCTGAAGACTGTCTTTCGTCATTCCGCGCTCAGAAATGACAGCAGTGACTTTCCATCACGCCAAGCCCTAGATCTTTGCTCCCTCCCGTACTCATCACTCACCGCCAATCATAGAGTACTTATACACAATGGCTTTCCAAGCATAGCTGCTACTACTGCTCCTCGATACAGCCTTTATATCATCCGAGGTCCTGCGTACCTATGACCATAGCACCGTTGTTACATGATCGCTCCAGCGTAGTGATGTTGACCTCCGGAAAGTCATGGAAGGAGGTCGTGCACTTCTCATTGGCTGTGGTGATGAGTCGAGGAGACATCCCACCTTGCTCTACATGCTCACCAGCCATCAGCAAACATAACTAACTTCTGTTCTTCTCTCTTCGAAGCATCGGCAGGTACAATAGATTTGTTCTGACTCACATTGACCCTCGCGACAAGCAAACGCGCCTTGCAATTTCCCATCCCCTCATCCCGAGCTTCGTCATCGATCTTGACACCTAGATACGCCGCACCCTTCGCCACCGAGAGCAGCACACAGCGACCGCGCCTTTTCGCTGATTAATTCTGAGCAGTCGCGTAAACCTTGCGAACCTTCCATCCGAGCCGCGACCCGTTTGCCCCTCTATTCATCTCACGACCACGATACCCACCAACAACCACATCCCATCGCCACCTCGCTTCTACCCCGTCGAGCGCACTTCACATTCGAATTATACAACGCCGCACACACAGTTATACTCTGCACACTCGCAACCATCAGGTCGAGCAGTAAACAAATCGCCCGCAATCGTGCACGGCGCCCCTCTCCTTTGGAGTCGTCCCCGCTTCACAACCAGCGCCTTTAAACAAGCTTTGATCTTCAAGGTCATAGCGAGGTGCTACTTGTAGAAGCCCAGGATACTCCCGAACATATCCAGCACATGAGCGGCTACCTCTGGAAATACTTCCTCGAAGATGATGTCGACAATTTCCGACATGTCCTCACATCCACCTCGCATACGTTCCGTGCGGGAACACAAAAAGGGTTGGCAGGCTGGCAGAGTGGAGGGCATGCCCCGGCGGTGAACAGCAGCCCTGGCAGCTATAACGCCTCGCCGATGCAGAGCGCCAAAAGTCGAAGGACGATTGGTGCTGGTGTTTCTCTAACGCGGACCGACATCAACAGTCGCGACGCAGCGGGGATGACCATCTTGCATCATGCCGCATCATCGACGTCTGAGAATGCCGTCGAATTTGCGCAAGCTCTCCTCGAACACCCGTGGACAGATCTGTACATCCAGGACGCGGAAAACGGCTGGACCCCACTACATAGAGCATTCTACTTCGGGAATATTGCAGTTGCGCGATCCATCCTGAATCGCGACGCACAGGACGTTCTTGGCCAGGGGTCTGGTGGCTTTAATCAGCATGCACGAGGTCTGGTTAGGATTAAGGATAACGAGGGTTATGGTCCTCTCGATTTGTTTGCGATGACGATCAAAGACCGCACTCTTCGACCGGATGAGGCGCCTATGACGGACTCGGACTCGGACGATGAAATGGCGCATGGCGACAGTGGTGACGCAGACGACGAGATGCGCAGGCAACTGATCACTCCGACGGTCTTGCTTGGAGGCGACGAGGTGTATACCTTTGGCAGCAACAAGAACGTGACACTAGGCTTCGGTGACGAAGATGACCGCCAATTCCCTGAGCGCATCATTCTGCGAAGGCCGGATCACCTCCTCCAGAGGTTTTACAGAGAGCATCGAGCAAGACAGAATCAATACTGGGCTGCGATGGGCTTACCTCCACAAGATTCCGGTCCAACGCTACCCAAGGTTACAGTGGATTTGCCCACTCACATTCGCAACATCCCCATCGTCATTCAAGACGTGCAGATGTCAAAGTTGCATACTGCTGTTTTGACGGCAGATCCTGTGTCGAATCTTTACATGTGCGGTCATGGTCCTGGAGGTCGACTGGGAACGGGCAACGAGACTACTCGGTATCAATTTACCTGCATTGAAGGCGGTGGAATGGGCCAGAAAAAGACTGCTGCAGTTGCCCTTGGCCAAAATCATACACTGGCTATCACCGACGAGGGAGAGGTTTTTTCGTGGGGGAACAACGCGTTTGGTCAGCTGGGTTACACTCTTCCGAAACCAGTATTGAAAGATGACGACCCTATCTCAACGCTCCCTCGACAGATCTTTGGGCCCTTGAAGCGCGAACTCGTGGTAGGCATTGCGGCGTCCCGAATCCATTCAGTCGTACATACTACAACGTCTCTATACACTTTTGGCAAGAATGAAGGCCAACTTGGCATTGTCGATTCAGACGCCCGGTCCCTCGAAATGCAAATCATTCCCCGGAAGATCGCAGCCTCTTTGTTCTCCTCATCCATCGCTTCGGTATCAGCAATCGACGGCGCTTCTATATGTCTCTTGGAGAATCGCGATGTCTGGGTCTTCGCAAATTATGGTTACTCGAAGATCAGCTTTCCCCTGGACGGGTTCACAAGTCATTTCCTGAAGGAAAGTTGGCTGACAACGAAGTACGACACAACGCCGAACAAAGTCAAGAAGATTACTTCTGGTGGCGACACCATCTGCGCGTTGACCACGTCTGGCGAAGTGTTTACTGTCACAGTCAACCGACGGTTGGAAGGGACACAAGACGTCAGTGCCTCGACGACCAACCCAAAGCAGATTCGTGGAGCTTTGTCCGCGCCTTATCGCATATGGTCCTCGAAGAAGAGTCAAATGGCAGCAAGAGATGTTGACGTTGATCAGGACGGATCGATCATTCTGACCACCGACGTTGGCAGTGTGTGGAGACGAACCAAACGAGTGACGATCAAGAACGCGACCAGCACAGGCGCTTCAGAGACAAGACCAAAAGACTACAAGTTCCAGCGCGTGTCTGGTCTGACTCGCGTCATCGCCGTTCGAGCTTCTGCATTTGGGGCTTATGCAGCCGTGCGCAAGGACTGCAACGTGACGAGAGACCAGATTGGTGTAGATGAAATAGGTCTTTGGGACGATCTTGCGCCACTACTTTCCTTCTACGACTTGACAAATTATGAAGAGACGTCCGATGACGAAGAGCCTGTCCCCAGGTATTGGAATCGGTCGCCAGATGCGCAAGCTCTCCGCAAACGTACGCTGAAATCGAGAGACTTGGAGAAGGAAGTCGCTGAGATTTTGCAACGATCATCGACATCTTCGGAACGCACGTATAATGTGGAAGTTGGGACTACACTCTCTGACATCCGCATCCCCATTCACGAGTTCATTCTTGCTGGACGTACCAGAGTGTTCCGGGATGCGATAATCAATTTCCATGCACATGGCTCCGAGCATATCATACCTGATTTGTTGACCATCAAGCAAGACGGCGAAAAGTTGTTGGTACTCTTCCACGGCTTGGACTTCCTTACCATCTTCAACTTGGTTTTGTATATTTACACTGATCAAGTCGTTGATTTCTGGAACGTCACTCGGCACTACCCTACTTTGGCGTACAGATACCGCTCTGTGCGAACTGAATTGATGAAGGTCGCTTCTCAACTGGAGCTGCGACAGCTTGAGCCGGCCGTGCGCCAGATGGTCAATCCGCGAAGGTCTCTTCACATGGATCTGGAACTCGCCATCAAAGATCGAACGTTCTTTGAAAGTGGGGACGTAATCGTCGATCTTGCAGACGGCGAGATGCTTCTTCACTCGGACATCATCTGTCAACGCTGTCCCTTCTTTGAGGGTCTCTTCCGAGGTCGTGCCGGAGGCCAATGGCTTTCCGGGAGACGTACGGAGGAGTCTTCGCTCGTACGAATCGACCTGACGCATGTGGAAACACATCTATTCGAACTCGTTGTTCGTCATCTTTACGCCGACGCTGGGGAAGAGATCTTCGATGATGTTACAAGTGAGGACCTCAATGATCTGCTTGCGTTGGATGAACTCCTTGATCATGTAATGGACGTCATGTCCGTGGCAAACGAGCTGATGCTTGACCGTCTTTCACAAATTTGTCAGAGGTTGATTGGTCGCTATGGTGTGTATTCTTACTCGTGCTGTTGGGCCAAGCTTACAGTATTACAGTCAACGCCAGGAACGTGTGCTCTCTCCTCACAGCAGTTGCACCGAGCTCGGTTGCCGAGTTCAAAGATGCAGCGCTGGAGTATGTCTGTCTCAGCTTGGAGGCAGTGATGCAGAATGGGTAAGTTTCGTCACCATAATGTATCCACTTTACTAATGTATATAGATCTCTCGACGAGCTGGATGAGGATCTTTTATTGGAGCTCAATCAGGTTGCTCGCGATAACCAGCTTGCATATCTGCCCTTCGCCAGGAGTGGGCGTGCAGAAGCACTTCTATTTGACCGATATCCGGAGCTCGCTGAGCGCATTGAGCGAGGCAAGCGTGCTAAGATTGACGCCATCGTACTCTCCAACAAATACGCAGATGGTGACGGCCTGTTTGGATCTTTCAGGGCGCAAAGCCTGGAAGAAGCGTCCACTTCGCCCCTCCGCCAACGCACGCGAAGGAGAGCATCGAAAGAAGTCGGCAGGATCGAGCCCAGCAGCCCAGCGCTAACACCGCAGCTCAAGAGTAGACAGTCGGTCCAAGACCTCATGTTTGAGATGTCTGAAGGGGAAGACGATGATGGTGATGGCGGTTTATTGAAGAAGATCAAGCCCCCGAAATTCAAAGAACGATTCACGGAATCGAAAGACGATGAGCTCACGGCTCCGGAATCTCCCTGGTCGTCAGTCCGTCGGCAAAGCCAGTTGTCGCCTCATAGTCTTGGTGAGGAGGATAACCTTCCCGTCAAGTTCACTCCTCTCCAATCGCCCGCCGTGCAAGAGACGAGGACACTAGATCGACCATGGGGCGCCACACCCTTAGCGAGTGCAAAGCTGGACCTCAAAGACATCATGAGCCAGACCTCAAGCGACAAGCCGTCGAACCTAACTCTGGGCCTGACGCGGAGCGAGAGCGAGCAAAAAGCCGCGAGTTCCTCGCACAGCAAGATGTCGCAAAAGGAGCGTAAGCGCCTGCAACAAGCCCAGCAGCTGGGAACGCCGATAGAATCCCCGCAGCCAACACCCCCCGTTGTATCTCCCTGGCAAGCCGCCGCCGCTCAACGCAAGCCCAGCAACGCTCCCATCGTGCAACCTTCCCCTAAACCAGCCCCATCGCCACAACCCCAGCAACAACCACAACCCCCCCGAGCATCAAGCACCCCCCACCTCACCATGCGCCAAACCGTCGCGCGAAAAAGCTCCACCACCCCCCAACAAAAAGACACCCCAGCATCGCCCCCGCGCCCCTCAGCCTCAGAACGCGGCATGTCCGTCTCCACGACCCCAATCCCCACCCCACGCTCAGTCCGCCACATCCCCAAGCCCTCAACCTCACTCACATCGCCCAGCCAGCACCTCAGCATCATGGAGATCCTGTCGCTGCAGGAAGCCGAGAAGGTGTCGATTCGCGATGCCGCGGCGAAGAGGAGTCTGATGGAGATCCAGCAGGAGCAGGAGTTTCAGGCGTGGTGGGATGAGGAGAGTCGCAGGGCGATGAGGGAGGAGGAGGAGGTTAGGCGGGTGCAGGAGAGGTCTGGGAGGGGGAGAGGGAGAGGTGCGGGGAAGGGGAGGGCGAGGGGGAGGGGGAAGAAGGATGGTGAGGGGAAGGGCGAGGGGAAGGAGAAGAAGGTGGATGCGAGTCCAGCGCCGGTTGTGAATGCGCAAAAGTCGACGGCTAAGCAGGATGGGGGTGATAGAGGGGGGAGAGGGAGAGGGAGGGGAGGCCGGATAGGCAGGGGTGGTGCCAGGGGAGGTGGGGCGCGGAAAGATGGGGCTGCGGCTGTTCAGTCGCCTACTCCTACACCTGCTCCACGGGTTTAATGTTGTACAATTACTTAGAATGTGTGGGTTGTATTTATATATCTCTTTCACTGTTCATCTACCAATACTCATCTAGACGAATATACTTCAGCTAAATCCCACCCCATCCTAAGAAAAAAGAAAAGATAGCCAAGTTGGATGCTTTGGTGATATAGATGTATTAGCTAAATCCCCACCTCTTGCACATATGCACAGATGACGATCATGATATGTACAAGGACAACTCTACAATCGCGCACCGTGGAAACACAAGCTACAGAGAGGGAAGTAAACACATCACTTATCGCTCCACAGTTTTTAGGTATGTACGCAAACAAGGCGAAAACACAGCACCAACAAAACGATCTTCTAATAGATTAGCGGAACAGAACAGAACAGAACAGAGCAATGAGTAACCGATGAAGATTCACTGGGCAATTTTGGCGAATATGCGGAGTGAAGATGCGGTGAAGGAGAGCGTCGACAACTACATGGATTGTGAAAGGACTTGAACGGCGGAGGAGGTGTTGGTATGCGTCTACAAGCATGTGGTGTTGAGTTTTGTATGTTAGGTTGGGTTGGTTTAGTGCAGCGACCTCATATAAACATCCACACCACATAAAATCATTACACATCTCACCTACACATACATACATACACAACCCACAAACCCCCCATCTACAACGGCTTAACACCCCTATGCACCGCCGCAATCCCGCCCGTCAAATCCTCCCACCCCTTCCCCGGCACAAGAAACCCCGCATCCTCAATCATCCCCCTAAACTCGGCCTGACTCGGAAACCTCGCAATACTCTCAACAAGATACTGATAGCTATCGCGATCGCCCGCAACCATCTGGCCAATAAGCGGAATAGCGCCGAAACTCCACCGCTGATACACCGCGTCAAACAGCGGGTTATTCACCTTGCTGAACTCGAGGCATGCGAATACGCCGCCGGGTTTCAGGACGCGGAACGCTTCTCGAAGTGCGACGTCCTTGTGTGTGAAGTTTCGGATGCCGAAGGCGACGGTGTAGAGGTCGATGGAGGCGGAGGGTATCATGTGGAGGTCTTCGGCGTTGGCTTCGATGAAGTCGAGGCGCGGGGAGTGGGCGTAGGGGGTGGTGAGGGAGCGCTTGCGGCCTTCGAGGAGCATGGAGGGGTTTATGTCTGCGACTGTGACGCGGGTGTGGGCGTCGTGGTTGGTGGTGGAGGCGTGGTCGAGCATGCGGAAGGCGATGTCGCCGGTGCCGCCGGCGATGTCGAGGATGTTCCAGCCTGGTTGGTGGTTGGGGGATGAGGTGGAGGTAGAGGGGGGTGTGCTGAGGGGGTGTCGGCCGGGGTTTAGAGACCGCACGAAGTGGTCTTTCCAGAGGCGGTGGATGCCGAGGGACATGAAGTCGTTCATGGAGTCGTAGGAGGAGGCGACGGAGGAGAAGACGTTTTTCACTAGATTTTGTTAGATGATGGGGTGGATGGTGTGGGGAGGTCGAGGGGGGTAATTACCTCGCTGCTCTTTCAGCGCCTCGGCAACCGTCTCGAAGCCAAAGTGCGTCGTCCCTCCAGGTCCATCTTGCGGAGATTTCGGCGGCGGCGTCGCCTGCTGCGTGGGTGCTGTGCAGGAGAAACAGCGGTACGACTCCCTTGCACCCACACCCCTCCTACTCTTCTGCAGCAATTGGCGCGCAGCTCGTGACCGTGTCGTCTGCATGGTTATGCGATGTGGGGGTGAATTGTCGCCGTCCAGATGAGAGAGCTTGGCGTGAATGTGCTCGAGGCACGCTAGCACGTGCTGACGTCTGTCTATAATTATTCTGCGCACGGTCCCCGTCTGGGGTGCGGCTGATGCACGGCCAACGTCGGCTCACTCCCCCGTTCACTACCCCGGACTTTGCGAGCATCTGAGATCAAATACCCGCGCCGCCCGCACTTAGCGATGGGCCTGGTATTGCTAAAATGTCTTTTCGCTATGCGTCGCGGAGACTACGGTCTCAGGGGCTTTTGAAGGCGTCGTCGAGACTGAATGGCTGTGCGAGGGTGACGCCTGTATGGCAGATATGCCGAGGCGTTGCGTCGACGCCGACTGCTGAGAAGTATGCACCAAGATGAAGTTGTTGTACATACAGATGCTGATAGATGAGGTAGAGTTCTCTTCCCTGGCGCGTTGAACAGCGAGTTCACCGACACACTCGACTTCCTGCAGCCGGCGACCAATAAGGCCATCTCTACGTACCGCGTCATGAACCAGTATGGGGAGATACTGGACAAAGAGATTGGCGTCGACACTACCGATGAAGAGGCGCTGGCCTTGTACAAAAACATGGTCAAATGTTGGTTTATTCGACTGTATCTTCACACTGCATGACTGACAGACACAGTGAGCATCATGGACCTCCTCATGTTCGAGGCCCAGCGACAGGGACGACTGAGCTTCTACATGGTATATCCACTCCCTCCCAATCTGTACATCATCGTTAACACCCCCAGGTCTCCGCCGGCGAAGAAGGCATATCCATCGGCTCCGCCAGCGCCCTCTCCCCCGCCGACGTGATCTTCTGCCAATACCGCGAATGCGGCGTCTACATGCAACGCGGCTTCACACTAGACGACTTCATGAACCAGCTCTTCGCGAACGCCAAAGACAACGGCCTAGGCCGCAACATGCCCGTACACTACGGCAGCAGAGAGCTAAACATCCACACCATCTCCTCCACACTCGCGACGCAAATCCCCCACGCCGCGGGAGCCGCCTACGCCCTCAAACTGCAAAACATGCAGAACCCCGCCGTCGAGCCCCGCATCGCAGTCTGCTTCTTCGGCGAAGGCGCAGCCAGCGAGGGCGACTTCCACGCCGCCCTCAACATCGCCGCCACCCGCCAAGTCCCCGCCATCTTCATCTGCCGCAACAACGGCTACGCCATCTCGACACCCACAAGCGACCAATACCGCGGCGACGGCATCGCGAGTCGCGGCGCGGGCTATGGAATCGCCACCCTGCGCGTCGACGGAAACGACATCTTCGCCGTCCGTCGCGCTATTAAATCCGCGCGCTCCCTCGCCCTACAGGATGGCGGCCGTCCCCTCCTCATAGAAATGATGGCCTACCGCGTCGGCCACCATAGCACCTCGGACGACTCGTTCGCATACCGCCAGCGCGTCGAAGTAGAGGACTGGAAACGCCGCGATAATCCCATCACACGGCTGCGCAAGTACCTCGAACTCAACCACTTGTGGGACGACGCTAAAGACAAGGCGTTACGCAGTGCGCTGCGCAAGGAAGTGCTAAGCGCGTTTGAGCGCGCGGAGAAAGTGGGGAAACCTAGTCTAAAGAATGCGTTTGAGGGCGTTTGGGCGGAGGTTACGGAGGAGCAGCGGGCGCATATAAGTGAGTTGAGGGATATAATTGAGCGGTATCCTGAGGAGTATGATGTTGGGGGGTTTGAGGGCGGGGTGGGGGGGCTGGATGAGCTGTTGAAGGGGAAGGAGGGTTCATAGTGGTGGGATGAATGTGATGTGCGAGGTTGTATTGAGTGGTTTGGCTATATGGTGATATATGTGCTATGTGGCGTCTACAAGCCAATCTGGGTCGGCGTCTTCGTCCTCGGGGTCCTCGAGCGGGAGGGAGTTTGTGTCTGATGCTGATGCTGACGCTGACGATGGAGGGGATGGCGGTGCTGGTGCTGGTGACGGTAGTGGTGCTGTTACATCCACCATATCAACATCCCCCTCTCCGTCTCCCCCTCCCGTTTCTTCTTCCATCCCCTCTTCTATCCCTTCCCCACCACCCTCCTTACTCTGACCACCATCTCCCAGAGGTAGCGGTACATCACCATCCGAGAAATCACTCTCAAACGAATCCTCCCCATCATCTTCGTCTTCGTCCTCCTCAACAACAACCTCACTGCCCCGCCCCATCCGCCGCGGCACACGAAAGACATGCGCGTCCAGGATCGAGCTTTCGAAGCTATGTTCGCGGGGGAGTGCGGGTACGCGTCTCTCCGCATGCACTTCTCTGCGTTCGGGTTCGGATTGCTCTTCATCTTCGTCTTCGTCTTCGGGGTTGGGTGAGGATTCAGGGAGGAAACCACCACCCCCAGCGTCATCCGCATCTGCATGCTCAACCGCAGCATGGGGCGCAAAACCCCCAGCAAAAGCAACAGGAAACTCTCTTTCCGCATCCTCGGGGAAAAACCCCCCCGCCATCTCCGCCTCCGCGAGCGCCCTATCCTCCCTCGTAATAGCACCCTGCACATCCCCGCCCGGCCCGCGCTCCCCATCAATAACCATTGCATTAACGCGCTGCGCAATCCTCAGACCAAGGAAAAAGCGGCGCCACAACCTCACCGCCTCAGCACTGCGAGCAGCCAGTTCCGCGGCTTCGACCTCATACTCCAGCCCCTCGATGACGGCTTGGACAGCGTCTGAGAATTCGGCGGCAACGACAACGCCTTGGATGACGGCCGTGCCGTGGCGGCCTTTGAACGAGAAGCCTGTTACGGCGTCTGCGCAGTCGACGCCTACGATGCGCGAGGCTTTTGCGGCGAGTTTGTGGCGCAGATGCGTGCCGCCGGGGGGGCACATGGAGGGGACGTAGAGGTCGAGGTTTCCGTAAGCGTTGCGGGGGACGCGGCCGTTGACGACGGGGGGAGGGGTGTAGAGGGTTGTTTGGAAGTGTGCGTAGAGGGGGGTGCCGAGGTCGTCTTCTTGCTCATCGTCGTCGGGGTCGATGGGCATGCCGATGCTGATGGAGGGTCGACGGCCTTTCTTGGGCTTTGCGTGTTTGAGGGGTTGTTCGCCGCCTTGCACGTCGCGACCTAGTCGGTACCATTTGTCTGCGCTGCGGACGATGTGGACGTCTTTGCGGCGGTAGATGGGCTCCATTTTGGGGGTCATGGCGGTGCCGCAGTTTACTTTTCCGACTTGGTTCAAGGGGTGGATGACTTCGTTGTGGCGGAGGTGGCGCTCGAGGACGTAGACGGGGTGGCCTTTGAAGTCTTGCACGCTCTTTGGTATGCCTTCTGCGGCTTCCTTACGAGATAGTGCGGCGTCTTCGACTTGGTCGCGGTCGAGCTTGAGCGAGCGTTTGAAGAACTTCATTGTTCGCTTCCACCATTTGTCGCCGTCGGAGGTGCATTCAACACGAAATTTGCGCGTCTTTGCGTTGTACGCTTTGGCGTAGCGTCGTGTGATGTCTTTTGCGGCGTAGTCGTCTTCGAATGCGATGGCGTATGTGAGGCTGTTTTGGGCGAAGCTGAGAGGGGGTTCCAACTTCTCGGGTGCGTTGACGGTGAATGTTGATAGCGGGTCGATCGGCACCCACTTCTGATGTGCAGAGTTGAATGCTTCAACCCAGTAGACCGGGTACGGGCTGTGGAAAGCCTTTTGCTTCTTTGGAGCTGTGCCTGTGTTATGCAGAACAGGGTGTCGCTCGCCCATGATGCGTTCCAGCCGGGAGAGTTTCTTGGGCCGAGATGGACCCGATGGTTTGGGTTTGGAGGGCGTCGAACTTTCCCTATTGTTGTATGGATCTACGATTATGGTGTTCTTGTGAGAAGTTGGTTTCAACGGTGTGGTGGGCTGGGCTGCAGACGCAAAAGGTAGAGGTTGTAGTGAACACACAAGCCTGGCTTCTACGCCGATAGTACGAAGGAGAGCACAGAATAGCTGAGCTCCAACGTCTTGCGAGCCTCGCAATGTGTGTGCAGCCTTACGAAAGTCGTCCCTGTCCATGGGGTCGTCGAGCTCGTCAAAGTCAGAGAATGGACGAGCTTCTGTATCTGCTTCTGCCCACCGTGGCTTGTACATACCCTGAGCAGTAGCCTTGAATCGTTTTGACCACAGTATTTTCAGCTCGTTCATACCCTCGACAAAACGTTTCGATGTCTGGTATTGTGTAAAGTCGGGGTTGGGTACGAGATTTGCTAGAGTCTTCGGAGGCACCAGTTTTCGTAGCGCGGACTGCACCCTCCCATCGTTGCACCAGACATTTCTTCGGTGGACATGGTAGAGTAGGCATAAGACGTGCATTTTGTGGATATCCAGACGTCGCTTCTTGTCGACGGACGTAATTGCCCGTCGACGAACTTTCCTCTTGGATTCATTTTCTATGCTCTTGTTGCCTCCTATCGTGATGCTGATATCGCCAATCTCAGGTGCCGCGTCTTCTCCATCATCCTGATCGTCGCTATCTTCACCGTCCCCAAGCGCATTTTCCCACTCGACATCACTGTCGTCTGACTCGTCCGAGTCTATAATGGTTTGTTTCACACGACCGCTGGTATGTGGTTCCTCGTCAAGATCGACCTCGCTGGTGGCAGTTGCCTGTGCGCGAGTGTGCGACGGTAGCTGTGACGAGGCCTTGACTGGCGATGGCGCTGGCGCTGGCGACGACACGGTGGACACAGGGTCTCTGGAGGGCTCTACTTCCAAAGGTGGAGACACAGGACTTATTGCTCTTTGTGATGGTGCAGTCTTCCTCTTCTTCAGCGGCCTCGAATCATCGTCTACGCTGCCAGTTTTGGATGCGCGCTCCTCGTACAGCATCTCACGGTAGACATCTGGGACTTCTTCATCTTGCTGCGCCGCCTTTGTTCTTCGCGATGATCGTCGTGGAGTAGCCGCGGCCGTTGTTTTCTTGTGGAGTCTCCCTCGCGCGCCGGCCATATTCTCTTTGCGACTGCCTGGGCGCACAGTGCGGAGATGGAGGTTTAGCGGCGTGGAGATATACGGTCGACGATTCTACCAGAGCCAATATCGCTCATAGCGTATGCGGTCCGGGGTCGAGAAGTACACTAGGTGGGAGTGTTGGGGCGACGTGAGTGAAGATTGCTGGCAGCCTACCGTAAAACTCCTACTCTTTCGTTTACTGCTAGACATAGGTTTTCAGGAACTAGAGCTAGTGTAAATACTTAAATACTGCGTTTACCTTACTATACATACAAATAATTATTACTCCTTTTAATTCTAGCTTAATAACTAAACTATAGCTCTTAAAATATATATTTTAAGCTTAAATTTAGAGTTAATATATATTAAACTTAAGTTTTTTTTAATTTTTAGTATATAACGTAATATTAGTTACGTAGTATAGCTTATATATATAGCTTAGCTACTTAGTACTGTATAAGATATAGCATTTAAATATTAAGGTTATACCTATAATTAAAGCTATATTTTATAAGTCTTAAGTTTTAGCTAAGTATTTTAAAAAATATATATATAGGTAGTAAATTTATAAAGCTTAGTAATAAAAAGTAAATATAAGTAATAGTAGTAAATACTATAGAGTAAGCTTTAAAATCCTTTTAATTCTTTACTAATATAATAAGTAGTACTAAATTATAGTAGCGTTTTACCTAATTAAGTAATACTAAGTTACTAGTATAGTGCTAAAAACTTTAAAAACTTTAAACTTTAAAGTTTATTTAAATAATCTAAATAACTTTATAACTTTAACGCCTACGCTTATTATAATATTTTAATATTTTACCTATTACTATACTTTAATTACAGCTTTATCTCTTTCTTCTTTTTTTATTCCTCTAGCTTTGCTATTTTAGGTAGGCTAAAAGAATTCCTAGTACTATTAATAATAATAAGATTTAACTAAATCTAGCCTTTAGTATTCTTTACTAAAAGTTACTCTATTAAGTAAGCTTTATTTATCTAGCTACCTTTAAGTATATTTCTACTTCTTATTATATTCTTTAAATTAAGTACTAATATAGCTTTATAACTCTTTTTTTACTAAGTAAGTATCTTACCTTTATCTTTAAGTAGTAAGTAGGTAAATATATTATTATTACTCTCTTTAATTTTAATATTAACTAGGTCTTTTACTATATTCTTAAAAATCTCTTAGCTAGTAAAGTCTACCTTATTAATAAAGTCCTTAATCTTAATTAAGTAGTTATTAGTACTAATAAGGCTAATAGTAATACTAGTATAAATAAAGAAGTCTTTAATAAGCTATCTTTTTTAGCTATTTAAGTTATCCTAAGTATTAGTAACAGCCTTTATTACTATTATCTACTATACTAAAATTACTATCTATTTTATTAGGTTTTCCTCTAAAGTATTATTATTTAATATTAACTTAAGCTTCTCTCTTAGTAATACTTTAAATAACTTATTAATAGCTATATCTAATAGTTAAAGTAGTCTAGTATATCTACCTAGTATTATTATAAGATAAATATATTTCTTCTAAAGTTTTACCTTTATAATATCTATTTTATAAAAGGCAGTATAGTCTATTATAAGTAAGTTATTATATTTTTCTAATATATTAAATAGTTCTTTATCTAACTATTTAACTAAAAGCTTCTTATTATTATACATACTTAGATTAACCTTAATAGTAATATAAAGGTCTTATTTAACTTACTTCTTTTTATTAAGCTTACCTTTTACTATACTATAAAAAATAAGCTTTAGCTTAAGTCTTAGTATACTATTAGTAAATATGTATAATACTAGGGTAGCTTAGTACTTAGCCTAACTAAAGTTAGTAATATTACTAGTAACTATATACTTTTTTTTAATATAGTAAGTACACCTATTAAAGAACTTAAAAGAAATTAGTACTTTATTTATATTAATAATATTAGATAGCTAGAAGTACTAGTAGCAGCTAATTACTATCTAGACTAGTAAGTTCTAGTAAATAAACTAAAAAAATTAATTTATAAGTTTAAGGTAGTAAGGTAGAAGATACTAACTAGCGTAAGTAAGTTATTACTAGAATATATCCTATTATTAGAGGAATTAGTTAAACTAGCTATTTAAAAATATAAACTAAAGCTTCTATTAAAGGTTAGTAATTCTAGTTTTTTTTATATAATAATTATATTTACTAACTTACTTATTTTTATCTAGCTTATACTTATAGAATATCTTAAAAATAATCTTCTTTCTTTAGTAAAACTAGTATTATAAAACTTTTTATCCTATCTATTATTACTTAATAAACTACTTAAATAACTTAAGCTTAAACTTAGAATACCTTTTATAACTATTTATTAATACTACTACTTACCTACTATAACTTACTATAACTATCTTATACTAAGTCTACTATATATCTACTATAGTAGTTTTTAAAATTTTAAACTTAATAGTAGTATTTATAAGTAATAGTAGTTGCTAATAACTATTATACTTAAGTTTATTAAGGTACTACTTCTTCTACGCAGTACCTAGCTTATATATATTATATTTAATCTAATAGTATATAAAGTAGAAGATAATCTTAATCTTTTATTAAATTAATTAGACTATATAGGTCCTTAATAACGCTAGAGCTTTTTAGTAGGTAGCTCTTATACTAATTAGCTTATTTATAGTTTTATTACTATAGTTCTAATAAAGCTTTTTAAAATAGTTAGATATAAGGTTACTTACTATAAGATTACTAAGCAGGACCTACTTATTAGTTAGAGTTTTAGAAGAGAGGCCTATAGTTATTAATATATAAGTAGCTAAATTTAATAAATTACATAAGTTTTATAAGCTTATTAGAGATAAGATAAAAAATAGATTAAGCTCCTATACTAATAAAATTTTTAGTAGATTCTAATATTAGTCTAAGTACTATTTAGGGATATTTATTAGAGCGTCTATTTAGCACAGCCGCTACCCCTGCTAGCAGTAAACGAAAGAGCAGGAGTTTTACGGTAGATTGACTCGACGTGAGAGATCGATGACGCACCTTCCGTTCGTTTCGCGTTCTCACGTGAGGACTGAGTCGCATTTGAAACTCAATTGCAACTACCATCCACAACAAACCGCAGAAACATCTATAATTATATACTAATATATATCGCAAATACCCCGAGTCTGGTGCAGTACCAACTAAAGAACCAAAGCGCCGGGCTTTTATCATCCCCCGAATCATCGTTTCTTGGGTGAACATTTTCTGCACATAATGAACAACCAAAGTTCGCGGCCGCCATGGCCATCATCTCATCATAACACTAATCTGACACTTTTGTGCGTATTATTCCGTAGCGTCATAGAATGATATCGAGGTAACACTACCAAATTCCACTCAAGCTGCTCGTACCGACAGAGTGGACGCTCTAGAAATGGAAGTTACGCCGGGATGATCAATATGCGTTCCAATCTATCAATTTCGCTCGTGTTCTATTGCTAAGACATTGTGTTATACAAGTGTTCATCGCAGGCGGGTTGGTGCATCCGTCAGTGGAAGACTGGTCACTGCCGTCATTCTTCGTTCGAATCCCTGGGACCCAATATGCTTCCAGAATCTACCCCACACAAGAACTGTGGTTTCCTCATATAACCGTTGACGGACTGCACGCTTACCCCTCAATCGAGACGCGACTGGAAACCGATACAGAAGAGAAGGTGCCACCCAGACCCGAAATAGCAGAAAACATCCGACTTCGAACCTCTCAACGATGAACACCAAAATCGACATTTATCACTGCTACCGTATTCAATACTATCGTCATTACACGCATCAAACGACCTCGTCGCCGCTGTTTGACTACGAGCCGAACAGTTACGGGTGCAACCTGTAGGGTTACCGAGCCGAACGAACGATAACATTCTTCCAGTACTTTTAGGTGCTTTTCATCATGACCACAAAGGTCCAAAATTCGGGTCGGAGCCGTCGTAACCACGTTTGGATTCCATCCTTCATCCGTTCTCGCAACTGTCATAGTGCGTCTGTTTCAGACTGTGAGAAGACTACCAAAGAAACCCATGTACACCATGGGAAGGGCAAGGAAGCGGCGGTCTCTGATTCTCACTCGCATTCTTCGGGTATTTGTTGCTCAAGATCTCACAGCTCGAGTGAGGGCATGTGGCTAAAACACTCTGATATAGATGCGAAAGACACAGAAGACGACGATCTCGAGCGAGGCCCTCCCAATTTCGAACGCATCGTGCTCAGTATCGGCGGTCTCAAATGCGGGTGCTGTGAAGGCGGCATTTCCCGAGCTGTCAATCGCATTCGAGCTATCCAAAACCATCAAGTCAACGTTGTTCTGGCCCGAGTCGAGTTCGATCTGGACGTGAGTCGCCTTTCTGTCGATGCTGTTATTAAGAAATTAGGGACTGCCACGGGGTACACTTTCGAAGAGCATAACCAGCCTACGGGACAAGTACTGGAGCTATTCGTCAGTGATGCTGCACATATTCAACGTGTCGAGCAGCCGCATGGAATCACTCTGGTGGAAGTGCCTGAAAGACAGTCCTGGACTTCTGCTCGACTATTGAGTGGACGCAATAGCACAATTCCAGCAGAAGATGGCCACACTGACCCACAGCCTCGAGAGAAAGCAAAGTTTCTTGTCGTCGGCTGCAAGCACACATCTCCGTCCCACTATCTGATGCGAGTTCAATACGATGCTACACAAATTGGAGCTCGCGACTTGTTCAATTATTATCAGAGATTCGACCCGCACTTACATCTGACGGATCCATCGGATCACTCCAGTCTTGCTACGGGAGCGAAACAAACGAGACGAGCGTTGTACATATTCCTTCCCACGCTTGCTTTGACAATTCCGGTCATCGTACTCGCATGGGCTCCCGTTGACCACAACAAGCTGATTTATGCGCACATTTCTCTAGCTCTTGCGACTGTAGTACAGATCGTTGCTATTTCTGAGTTTGTTCCGGGCGCATTGCGGTCTCTCTATCACTCTCGTGTGTTTGAGATGGACTTTTTGATCGCGTTCAGCACTACGATTGCGTACGCTTTCAGTGTCGTATCATATGTTTTCCGGATCAGGAAGAAGCCACTGGAGACAGGATCGTTCTTCGAGGCTTCGACTCTCCTCGTCACGTTGATACTGTTGGGCCGCGTCATCAACGAGTTCGCGCGATATCGAGCTGCAAAGTCCGTGTCTTTTCGTTCGCTTCAAATTGATGAGGCGCTTCTTGTCTTGCCAAAGTCGAAGCAACAAGCAGATCCCGAGGCGAGGAAAATCGACGCCCGGCTTTTACAGTATGGGGATGTCTTCAAAGTCCCACCGCACACCCGAGTTGTCACGGACGGTACGATCTTGTACGGCGGATCAGAAATCGACGAATCAATGATCACAGGCGAACCTATACCCGTCGCTAAAGGAGTGAACTCGAGGGTCTTCGCAGGTACTAACAACGGATCGGGTCAGCTCATTGTCACTTTGACTGCTCTACCTCACGAGAATTCCATCCACAAGATAGCGACAATGGTCGAGGATGCGGAGTTGACAAAACCCAAAGTCCAAGCACTGGCAGACCGGGTAGCGGGCTGGTTTGTTCCTACGATAGCGACCATTGGGTTCCTCGTCTTCCTCATCTGGCTGCTTGTGGACAAATTTCAGAACAAACGACCATGGAAAGACGCCGCCATCAGGGCCATCACTTATGCTATCGCCACACTCATTGTATCCTGTCCTTGCGCCATCGGATTGGCAGTTCCTATGGTTGTCCTCATCGCTGGAGGTGTGGCAGCTCGATTCGGCATCATCTTCAGAGACCCTCAGAAACTTGAGATCGCGCGTAGTGTCACGGATGTCGTCTTCGACAAGACAGGAACCCTCACCTGTGGGTCTCCGGTGGTTGTCGATGAGTACTATCACGGTAGTCACGCTGCACAAGTCAAGGGGATGCTGCTTGGCCTACTGAAGGACATCAAGCATCCGGTGTCTGCAGCCGTCTTTCGACATCTTGAGCGAGAGGTTCGCATGGACTCGGAGAAGCTCATCATACCTCTCGAGATGAATGACATCATCAGCGTGCCGGGAGAAGGCATCGTAGGTACCTACGCAGAGAGTGGTGACGAGATCCGCGCCGGAAATCCCCAATGGCTCGAAATTGAAGTAGAAGAATCCACCTGCAGCTTCCTATGCGTTACCATCTCCGGCGTCCTAAGCGCCACATTCCGGCTCAAAGACCGTCCCCGACACACCGCAGAGCTAGTCGTCGAGAAACTCCAAGCCCGCGGCATCACCGTCCACATGATAAGCGGCGACAGCCAAGGCTCTGTAGACGACGTCGCACACTCCCTCAACATCCCCAAAAAGCACACCAAATCGCGCTGCAAACCCGAAGGCAAATTGACCTACGTCAAAGACGTGCAGGGCTCCGCCGGGCCCAAGAAAACCGTCATGTTCGTCGGCGACGGGACGAACGACTCCGTCGCCCTCAAACAAGCAGACGTGGGCGTGCACATCAACCACGGCTCAGACGTGGCCAAGAGCGCTGCAGACGTCGTTCTCATGACGACGAGATTGCACGATATCCTCATCTTGCTGGATATCTCGCGGGCGGCGTATCGCCGCATCTTGCTCAACTTCGCATGGTCGGCGTTCTACAATCTGTTCGCTATTCTTCTTGCCGCGGGTGCATTTGTCAAGGTTGGGGAACAGGTCAGGATTAAACCTCAGTGGGCGGGATTGGGCGAACTGGTCAGTGTGCTGCCTGTGGTGCTTATTGCGTTTCAGATGCGCTGGAGGAGCTATGGTGCGCAGTATCGCGCGATTGAGTTTGATTATATGAAGGCGGAGCCGGAGGGTGAGACGGATGGACAGCGGGTTGATAAGGTGGAGGAGCAGCGGAGAGGCAGACGGTCGACTAGGGGAAGTGGGAGTGGGGTGACGTGTAATAGGGATCGGGGTGGGTGTCTTTGTTGCTGAATGGGGTTGATACTGTAGTTTACTTAGGCGCGTCTGAACATGCGTATCACAGTATGGCTGGACTGCTGTTGGGGTTCATATTTCACACGGAGGTACAGGGTAGGAAGAGGAAAGCGGCGCCTCATCTTGTCATATCATGATTCTCAACTCTGATAACCGTTACTCATAAACGCATCACTTTTGTTATACTCCCCTCCAATCCTCTGTGCCAAACACAGCCTGGTTGTTGAAAATCCCGAAGCACACGAACGAAAAACTTCTCCTTGGAAACATACATGTCTACCCTCCGTCTGTCTACACGCTAAGCTCCGCCACACCCGCCTTCTCAATATACGCCTTGTACTCCCCGAGTTTCCCGTCGAGCTCAGCACAGAACTTCTCCACAATCTGCTCGCTGCGGCCAGTGTACAGCTTCGAGTCCAACATGGCGTCCAGATCAGCCCAGATGGGCTTGAAGAAGTCGGTGCTGCGGATACGATCGACGAGGTCATTGCTCTTTCCCTCGTTCTTAACCTGGCTGCCTGCCTGGTGGGACAGGACACGGATCTGCTCATGAGCTTCCTGGCGCGACTCGCCCTTAGCCACAAGACGCATGATGATAGATTCCGTGATCATGAAGGGCAGTTCTTCCTGGACGCGGGCGTCGACGCGCTTGGGGTAGACGACGAGGCCGGAAGTGACGTTGTCGAGGGAGAGAAGAATAGCGTCGGCGAGCAGGAACATCTCGGGGATGTCGATGCGGCGGATTGCGCTGTCGTCGAGGGTGCGCTCCATCCACTGGTCGGACAGCGTGTTGGCGAAGCTCGCGGGCTTGGACATGAGTTCGCGCGACAGCGAGTAGATGCGCTCCGAGCGCATGGGGTTGCGCTTGTAGGCCATGGCTGAGGAGCCGATTTGGTCCTTTTCGAAGGGCTCTTCGAGTTCCTTCCATGCGGCCAGGTGGCGGATGTCGCCTGTGATTTTCTGGGCGGTGGCGCCGAGTCCGGCTACGGCGTTGGCGATGACGAGGTCGACTTTGCGCGTGTATGTCTGTGTGGAGACGGGGTAGCAGCTGGGGAAGCCGGTCTTCTTGCATAGGAGATCGTTTAGCGAGTCGCACTTTTGGGAGTCGTTGTTGAAGATCTCGAGGAAGGAGGCTTGGGTTCCGGTTGTGCCTTGGGCACCGCGGAATTGGAGTGTCTGGCGGACGTGCTCGATGGTTTCGAGATCGAAGAGGAGGTCCTGGGCCCATTGAGCGGCTCGCTTGCCAACGGTGATGAGCTGGGCGGGCTGCAGGTGCGTGTAGGCGAGAGTGGGCTCGGATTTCCATTGCAGGGCGAACTTGGAGAGGTTGGAGAGGACTTTGGCGAGCTTGGGGAGGAGAATGTCCATGGCATCGCGCATGAGGATGAGCTCGGTGTTGTCGGTCACGTAGCAGCTGGTCGCCTGTTGAGTGAAAGTCAGCAATATTTTCAGAAAATAGAAACGTGGATGATCTGGTGTTTCCGTCCTCATCACACCCAATGAAATAATCCCCAACTCCCACATCGTACGAAACAATCACAAGAAAACACATACACCGTAGTGAATGATACCCGCCGCGCTCGGCGCAACCTCTCCAAAAGCATGCACGTGAGCCATAACATCATGCCTCCTCTTCTTCTCCTCGACTCTCGCAATCTCGAAATCCTTGTCCGTAACCATCAGATTCTCCCTCATCTGTTTGAGCGCCTCTTCGCTGATTGTCTCAATTCCTAGCTCTTTCTCTGCCTCTGCGAGATAAAGCCACAGCTTCCGCCACGTGCTGTGTCGGCTGCGCTGGCTGAAGAGTTGCGACATTTCCGGCGAGCAGTAGCGGCCCGTCAGGGAAGTCTGGTAGGTGTCAAAGACCGAGGAGCCAATTTGGGTCTTCATGCTGCTGATTTGACGCTGGAGGTCCAGCACTGTGTCTTGGTCCAAAGCCATCTTTGGTTGTAGATGTGTGAGTCCGCTTCGGGATCTGATCAATGCACTCGCTAGTTTGCGATTGTGTGTTCCTTGTCTAGAAACCGGTCTACTAGGTTGAGAAGAAAGTAATTTAGAATTGCAAAGAGAGCCTGTCGTCTGTTGCAAGGGAGGTCGACGCTTCCTTTTCTACCCGAATTGTGATGCAAGCCGCCGCACGTGGAGCTCTTTGATTTTTGAATGCCCAGCCCCACACTTGCGCCCCCAGATCGGGCTCACCTGTTCGCGTACATCTTTTCTCCTACCACTAATTTTCACAGTCACTATCGCCGATCGACGACCGATGAATGCGAGGAGTAGATTTTTCTCCGCGGTACCGTTCGATCGGCGTTTACAGCGGGGTCCCTCTTTGGCGACGTCATATATCGCGAACAAACGACTCTCCTCAAACTCGACATTTGGTCAAAGGTGCAATGCAAGCGCTCGGCTACAGATATTCCGACTGTTTTTACACCACCTCGCCTAAACGCGGGATTTCTGAATATCACGCTGGCTGTGCAAATGCATCTTGTCACTTCAATTATTCCGTGTTCGCCCGATGTCGGCCGTCGCATGAGCTCTTGGGGTTTGGGTCTTGCGACTTCCCACATCAAAGAGCAAGCTTGAAAGACGCGTGATAATAGTGTTGGATATCATTCTAAGGTCCCAGATCATCTTATCCGTACCCTATCAAAAACTTTAAGTTGAAACGTGTGGTATTTCCATATTCGACCTCGCCGTGAGGTCATGTCCAAGTTATCATCAGTCGACTGACCTTCAAATTCCCTACTACAATGCTGGCTGTTTCCAAACATCTCGATTGATCTTAAAAAGATTGCTCTGCTTGTGTGGCAAACTTACCTCTCGCTCCTTGTAGAAGCCGGCTTCTTGGAGATATCGCGCCAGTCTGTCGCTTGTCAGCTTCCAATCTACACTAACTTTTGACGATCAACGGCTCACTTTTCGTTATCAACTCGCGGCTCCAGCATGACCCTTTCTGTTCTGTGGTCTGCAAGCCAGCAGTAGTGAACCAGCGCACTCAACCACAGCTTGACCCTGTGTGCGCCTCTGAACTCCTGCTCACCGATCAAGCAATGGAACCCTCGATCATAGTCGCCCACATTGGGCAGGTACTTTCCAATATTGTCTTCCTTAACCCAGTATATCTCAAAGTAGCCAAAGGGCTTTCCGTCCCAGCAGCCTATCACGGGGAAAGAATTCTTCGACTGCAACCCATTCCTGAGGAATTCCTCTTGGTGAGACTGCGGACCAGCTTCGCCCCAGAAATGCGATACGCGTGGATCGTTCATCCACTTGTGAAGATACTCGGAGTCGGAATGCTCAGCGCTCTGATAACCGAAAGTAGGCACGAGCGAATCTGATGCGGCGCTGGAACTCTTACGGTGAGAGTTGGGTATGTTTGTGGACACTGGACCGCGATGACGGAGGGCCTTGGACGATATGGAAGCCACTCGGAAGGAGAGGTACTGCCCAACACTGGGTATGTACCTGGTATAGAACATCTCGCCCTGTCTGGGTGGTTTTGGCCGTATGGGATGTCGGACGTGGTTGGAGAAGATGTACTGCGCGGGCGGCGGTGGATAGTAGGTCGGGAGATGCGAACTTGAATGGAACGGTCCTGGCGCTGTAGGTGACCACAACCCCGTAGAAGACTGCTCGATTTGGTTTTCCTGATGCGATTCTGATCCAGGTACTGGAGACGACGGCCTCGAAGGGTATGGCGAGCCTGTTGAGAAAGGAGACTGGGACATGGGCGAGAGCGTGAAGAGGTAGATCCTGGGATCCAACTGCCAAAACGTTGTCCGGCTCACAAACATGTTCGTCCAGCCATCCGCACATTTTGCGTCTTGCGCGCACCCTACTGTCGAGTCTTCACATGCTATCAGGCCCATGCGCTCAAGTTTTGGCAACACTACTTTGCCCTTGAAAACGCCCTCGCGGTTAATGTTGATCCTCCACTCCCCCTTTGGCTTCCCTGCGTCGGCAGTGTTCTTCGAGAAGTCATTTGTGACTTGGATTGTCGGCTCGTACTGGTGGAAGTACCAATACAACGTTGCCCAGAGCATCATGGCGATCTGGCGGGTGGGCGATGCAGCAGCTTTGTAGTCACTGCTACTTGGGTTTGAGATGGATGAGATGTACAAGTGGTCGCCATGGAGAGTAGGGCGTTTGTAACGATGTATCTTGGGTGTAGGGGGGGTTGTGCTGTCGCTCTCATCTTGCTGCTCTTGTTCAGGGTCTATCTCGTCCTCCGAATTCAACACGATTGTCCAACCGGGCGGAAAGGGAGAGTGTGAGTTGAGGAGATCGTTCGCCTTGAAGAAGAGACCGCCGAACACAGGAATCACAGTCAGATTTTGACCGTTAGGTAAGTGGACGATGTTGTTTGGAGCCATGATGATAGCGATGGCGGGGTAGCTCCAGATGTGGGGGAGGGAGATTGATGTCTAATAGAAGTAAAGTTGAACGCGGAGTAGAGAGTCAATCACCAGTCTATCGCGTGAGATATATCAGGTACGTCAGAAGCGTTCGCAGGCACGCGAACGGAAGAAACTGCTGCCCAGATGCCTTGTGGGCATTCCGAGATCACCGCACGGGACAATTTGCGGGGCCGCAGGCCATGTTCGCGGTCCTTTCCATCGACGTATTGCACCAAACCAAGGTCTTATCTTGATATTCGTACTAATAGATAGAGTTAGGTGTCTTCGCGCTCATACATCATGTCGCGTAAGCCGGTGGTGTAGCGCGCGCTGTCATCGGCCGGCTGTCGCAACCGATGGAGGGTGGAGCTTTGACGAAGATGACGAAATCGGCCTATATTCTCCGAACAACCACAGCCGGAGCTTCACGTCAACACGATTAACTCCACCTGAGCATCATTCGACCACCACACTTCAACATCAATTCCACACATCATGAACACCACAATTCTCCGCACTTCTGCTCTGCGCTCGGCTGCCAGGGCAACTGTCCCCAAAGTCTCCCGTGCTGGAGTCGCAACCACATTTGTGCGAGGAAAGGCCACGCTGCCCGACCTCTCATGTACAAACCCCCGTACCTTGACAGTCGTATAAGCTAACACACGAATATAGACGACTATGGCGCCCTTGAGCCCTCCATCAGCGGCAAGATCATGGAATTGCACCACAAGAACCACCACAACACATACGTGACTTCGTACAACAACTTCAGCGAGCAAATCTCCGAAGCAAAGGCCAAGAACGACATCGCCGCCCAGATTGCTTTGCAGCCTTTGATTAACTTCCACGGTGGCGGCCATATCAACCACAGCCTTTTCTGGGAGAACCTTGCGCCTACAAGCAAGGGCGGCGGCGAGCCCCCTTCAGGTGCGCTGTCCAAGGCCATCAACGATAGCTACGGTAGCATGGAGGCGTTCAAGGAGAAATTCAACACGGCGTTGGCCGGTATCCAGGGCAGTGGGTGGGCGTGGCTGGTGCAGGATACACAGACAGGGAGTGTGCAGATCAGAACCTATGCAAACCAGGACCCCGTCGTTGGACAATTCCGTCCCATCCTGGGTGTTGATGCTTGGGAGCATGCCTATTAGTAAGTTTATGCTGGATGTCCGAATATGCGATAGCGGGTTACTGACAACTCCTAGCCTCCAATACCAGAACCGCAAGGCCGAGTACTTCAAGGCTATCTGGGAGGTTATCAACTGGAAGGTCGCTGAGCAGCGCTTCAAGTAAACGATTGTGTTGTGGTAGTCATTGCTGCGCATGTATGTACGTATAGCATGACATTTTGAGACAAATCTCGTCTTCAAGTCGCATCCCACGTGAGCAAAACTCTCCGCTAGCAATCTCTTTCATCGTGCGTTGGTGTGGCTATCAATGCCAGTGCTGAGAGTTTTGCAGCATCCGAAATATGTATGACTTCTAGGGTTGATGTGTAGGCTCAATGTTTTCGAGAAATCGCTCGCGGATTTTGGTGAAATCAGTATATCTGATCAAGTTAGACTAGTACTTGTTAGCCTACTTTCTGCCACTCTCATGAATCTTTACGACTACAATTTGGCGATCTGATATGCATTAGTAAACTTCATGATGTCCTCGAACCTGACCTACCGTGAAACAGCTAGACACTTGTTCGCAACAATCGATATCAATTCTCTAGGCAGAGACGACTAGGGCAGTGCACTTGATCGCCTTACCATTCATGAAACACTCCCAGCTGCTGTTCCAGAGCTGGTGACGAGAACACTCACAATACATATTGGATTGCATAAAATGTCGGCTCCGAAAACAGATATCACCACCCAGGCGGATGCAGCGTCGATTTCGTGGCCTAGCAGTAATTAACTACGAGGCGCGATAGCATTGACGGCGGCAACTTCACTGCCCGGCTTTTGCTCCAACAGATGGCTTATCAGCTCATCGAGATCAAATACAAGATGGTCGTACATCATTTCCGATTGCATCAATTCCGGATCAGGAGTACCATCGGATACGGTGTACAAGTATTGTCGTACACCGTCACAGATGCTATATACAGCCTGGTCATATGTCTTGAAGGGCGACAGTCGCAAGAGTGACTGTGTATCCCCACACTCAGTCTTCGGACGGCACTACGCCAATGGAAACATACTTTCAAGGTGTTTGCTTTAGGAGGTTCGTATGAAAACATCAAAAGGCGTCATGGTCTATACTAGACCTACGGAATTGGACGTACTCGCATTCTCTGTGGGAGCAGCATACCAGCCCCTCTCCAGGTATCACGAGTTTACACAACAACCGCTTCTGACGACAGTGCAACGTCGGTCATGTGGGAAACCATATCAAACTTGTTCATCACTACCAACCCCAGCGCAAGATACATCTCGAAGACTACTCTGGCAGATTTGACAGTGTGACGGACGTGTAGCGCATGCTGACCCCGTCACCGTGGCCTGGCAGATCAAAAGTCTGACTGTGTTTTCTACCGAGTACGCTTCGTCACTTGCACAGAAGATTGGTGTTTCGTTCGACACAGCGTCGCCCAAGCCAGCCAGCATCTCGGGTCTCCCTGCGCAAACGAATCCGCCATCTGGTAGTTCTGAGCTCAGCACTGGTGCCAAGGCAGGGATTGGCGTTGGAGCTGTACTGGGAGCTATAATCATTGGTGTACTTGTTCTGTGGCTTTGCATGGAGAGGAGAAAGAGACAACTGATGGGTGCTTTGGAAGTGGAGGGAAGGGCAGTGCCGGAGGTGCAAGGCGGGGACGAGGATCTCGCGAAGCGGAAGTGGTTCTTGGGTGGGAAGTAGCGGAGCGAAGTCCAGGTGGAAGACGAGCCTGGAGAGCTGGATTCGCGGACTGTAAATGTTGTGCCAGGGCCGCCGGTGGAACTCGAGGCTGCTGGAAGGATGCCAGAAACAGGATGGCATGTAGAGACTGTTAGGTAGTAGGTACTTGGACGCACTCGCACCAAGAGGAGTCTATTCACGTCTTGATTCTCGCGTTTGCTGTTTCAATCACGTGTGATCCTTCCACGTGATCTATGGGCCAATGACTGCGCCCCTCTCTTGCGTTTCCAGTTCACCGACTTCTCAGTCTTTTCCTCCATTTCCCCATTTCAAACATCGCAACGCCTCGCGATGCCTTACAATCGAGATGTCGTCGTAAATTGCGTTAAACGACATTATGATCTGCTTATCCGTGCCGCCTACCTCGACGCCAATATTGTCCAAAATCCACCTCCTGAGGGATGGAGTGACGACCAGCTAGCCGTCGACCTACTCCAAGCGTTTGGTCGTTCGGACAAAGTCATCGATCTCTTGCGACACCTGCCTTATCTCAACAGCAGCATCGGCATAGGAGGACATGAGATTTACATAGAGACGCGATCAATCTCATACCTCCATGGCAGTGATATCCTAGAGGATCTGACAGTAGAGGCATGCCGTGAAGATGGGTTATCTGACGCGTTGCTCATGCCCCTCCCTGGGGATTGGCCGCCTAGCTTCATTTCGTTGACCCATGGTGGAGATGCAATCTACTGGGTGATCGACACCGATCAAGGTATGGGAACAGCGTGTGCGATGAGATGGCAGTTTCTTCCACTGTTATGTCACATTCTAAATATCTCCACTAGGCATCATCTATCCCATGGATTCGTATCTGGTTGATGATACTGCACCAGAGGAGCAGCCTTGGCTGGGATGTGCGAAACCACGCGATATTCAGGAGTTCTTCGACGAGCTTTACGATGAAATGGAGTCCCTCAAAACCGTTCCGGTGCCAAAGGGAGAAGCGAGTTGGTACCATGAGGTGCTTCCCTGCGAGTTCCCCAAAGGAGAGGTGAGTGTTTTGGAAGTGGCTGGGCTATGTGATACTGATGGGCTGACATGGATGTGTGTATAGATTGCTAGCCGTCTTCTCAGAGAGTATGGCTGGCCTAACGCTTTGAGGACAGAAGAGTACCTTGAGGCTGTTCGGAAAGTACATCCGGATAATGTTAGGCGCTGAAAGACCTTTACTGTTCGGACCTTTCACACGCATTCAAGTACGTCATGATGATTGCCGTAGATTTGTTAGAAGCGAGGGTTGATATCCAACGACGATATTCTAAATCGCAAGACAATAAAAATACCCTGGCCACATCTGATTTCCACAATTTCCTCCGTCAACTCCAAGAACCGGGTTCAAGTTATATACCTGTTCCAAAGCGACACCATTATCGTTCCCAATCCCCCAGCAAGTATCGCCCGCCTTAGCCTCCACCCACCTCTTGCAGTTTGCAGGGAAGCCTTCCTGGGTTTGGGTAGGCAATGGTGCGGTCACAGTGGTTGTCGGCGACTGGCTTGTCGTTGACGATACAACCCCCACACAGTAGTAGTAGCTTGGCCAGAACTGCGTGTTACAATTCTCTCCATCAGTTCCAAGCACAGTGTTCCATTTATAGAGCTGGGACAACTCGATGCCGGCGCGATTAGCAATTCCCCAACAAGTGTCTCCTGATTCGTCTGACTTTTCGAACTTATTGCAATTAGGATCGATACCGGATTGAGTCTGCGTCGGCTTCGGCGCTTGTGTGGTTGCACTTGGGACTGTACTAGACATTGTAGGAGTGGTGTCTGTGCCATCTCCATTCCTGGAAATGCAATAATAGTAGTGCAGCCAGACCTGAGTACCGCAGTGCTCACCGCTTTTGCCGAAAACAGGATTCAGCTCCCAGAGTCTCTGCATAGTGATCTTCGCATCATTCGCGAGCTTCCAACATGCAGCTTGGGTGTTGTTGGCTACAATCCAGCGTGTACAGTCTGAAGGAATTCCTTCTTGGACCTTGTCGGCAGGAACTGTACTGGGATCGTTTATGATAGGAAGGGATATAGTGCTGCCCGGCCCACCTCGGACTGGTCCGTCCCCATCGTCGGGAATTTCTGAAGATGGTGGACTGATCCATGCGCCTCCAGGAGGCCTGCGATAATAGCGTGTCAGCAATGCATTTGAAAGGGTAGAATGGTAACGTACCCTGCGCAAATGAGCTGACCCATAGCCAGGTGATCACACGCGCCAAGGATATTGGGATTCCATGAAGCCACCTGAGCCAGGCTAACCTCATAAGTTACATTTGATAACGACTGGGCTATTGTCTCGCTATAGACTCTACAGTTAATTTAGATCTTTTATGGAAGGCATAGGAATTATTTACCACGTATCGTTCCGGGAAACTCGGTACAGGTCGCATGGAGAGGGTATGCAGACTTCGGCTTCGGAATCACAAAACTCGCTGTTAGTAGCGACAGCGATGTCGCCGGACGCTATCTGATACTTCTCTGCGATGTCATGACAGGTCAAGTCTTCTTCCCGGTCCGGACGGACGTCGATAGTACGGCCTGCACACGTAGTCGAAGTCGGGGTAGGGTCAGTGGTTATCGGCGATGCGGTATTCGTTGGCCGGCCGATCTCAGCCCCGTCCGTGACATGCGCATAGCCTGGAATGACTCTGGTAACGAGCTCACCCACAGTTGTTTGGCAAACGTTCTGGATATCCTGGAACTCGTCGACTAGATAGTCACCGAAGTCCGTGTCCTGTAAGAAGTCCGAGGTAACTCGAGCATGTAAGACCTTGAGGAAACATTCCGAGCACAGTAAATCGTCGTCATAAAGCGTTGACATACGACTCTGGTTCGCACCGAAATCGGCACGGTTGAGACACCATGGATTTGTAGGATCTGCTTCACAGTCTACATGGACGACGTCTGATCCAGTCCACTCGTAAGACTCGAGTAAACACCATTGGTTTGCGGAAGACCGCATACAGGCCATGTTGAGCCCCTCTGAAAAACGACCACTCAGTGTATCAGCAGGAACGTATCGTTCCCCAGATCGAAGATGGTCGTTCGCACAGGCTGTCTCAACACTCTGTCTCCATGTTTCTGCACTAGATACGCAGCTCGAGGTGCAGAGTGTGGTTACATCTTCCAGTTCCCAGTAGATTTGGTCAGTTTTGTGTGTCCATTGCATTAGATCATTGTCGCAAGGTAGAGTGGTGTTTCTGATCGATGTCAATTTCAATTCCCTTATCAAACTCATTTGGGAAAAGCTTACAACGCCGCAAGACAGCCAAGGGAAATTCCAAGGATTTGTGACATCGTATCAGGTGGAACGAGGGGATAGAGATTGAACCCTGAAGCCAACGATATCGAACTCATGTTGACAAAAGTACGGCGAAACGGAGATATGGTCAAAATTGCTGTTGCAAAGATAGTACATATAGCTTATGGGGTTGACAGGCTGAACTCTGAGAAGAAACCTTCAAGAGTGAGTATCGATTTTGAGGCGGGGGATCTCACGGTCTGGTAAGGTTTTCCAAACACAGATCATGTGCTTTCTATCTTCGGCAATAGAAAACATGGGCAAGAACATCCCTGCTCTAGGTGTAACCTTCTGGTCTTTGCCCCTGAGTTGGTACATGAAAAAAGCACTCTTACCGGGTTCACAGTGATCCAGACTGCATAAAGTTCACACTGGGTACTAGGATGAGAGCGATTATTGCCACAAACATAGGCCCGACTATGATGTACAAGCTGTAAAATCAATACTATGTTAGGTGGAGTCTAACTTTGATTCCGCGGTTCGCAATCTATACAGCCAGTTACACCAGGCGAAAATGCTTGGCAAATACTGCGCCGCAAAAAGTGTAGGCGGGATTATCTGAGACTAACCATTACACTAAGGTACCGCGTTGGTGTAAAATACACTAGGTTAGGTAAAATTACACTGCGTATAAGGGTAAATTTATACTTTTACACTACATCTAGCTAAATTTACCTAATATTCTAGGTAATTTATACTAATATTAAAAGATTTATATACTTTATTACTTTTAAATTACTACTACATAAGAAATCTTTATAAAGAGAAGAGAGTAGAATAAATAAAAATAGACTTTTATTTATAATTATTATATAATTACTGCCTCTTTCTTTTAAGCCTTAACTAAATTATATATTCTAGTATAGTGCCTAATAGATTAAATGCTATATTAAGGCTATATTACTATAAGTAAACTATTTATAAGTAGCTTAAAATATAACTTTATACTAGTTAATAATAAAGAAGCCCTTACTTAACCTAAATATACTAGGCTAGAAAATAACGCTATTAGAGTTATACTTAGTAGTAAAGAGTATAATAATTAGGTTTCTACTATAGTTAAGTAAGTACTAAGTAGTAGCGTTATTACTTAAGTAACCTACTATACTAGTATAATATAAAAGAAATATTATAAAGACTATATAGCTATACTTAATGCTAGTCTAGAGATTTATAATAATATAATATTAATTATTTACAGCTAGGACGCTGTTTAGACTATGTAGGATACCTAAAGTAGAGATATTATAGTAGTATATATTAGATAGAAAGAAGTAAGTTTTAACTAAAATAGCCTAAAGTTACTATTAGAAGTAAGCTATAGTTCTAAGAGTACTAGGCATTAGTAGTATAGCTATATCTAAGCTTACTCTGTTTAGAGCTATAAGAGGACCTACTTTATTATTATTATATATAAATATATAGTTAGAGAAGACTTATTAGTAGCTATTAATATAGTTATTTTATAAACTGTAATTAGCATTATTAATACTAAAAGTAAGAGGTTAGATTAAGGTTAGCTTATAGAGTAAGGTAGGTAAGATATATAGTAGATACTATTATATAAGAGGTAGTAGTAGAGGTTTCTATACTTATTACTATAAGTAGAGAGGTAATTAGGACTAGCGTAGGCGTAGAGGTAGGTAGTAACTAATTAATTACTATTTAGATAGAATATAGAGACTATAGATAATAGAGAACGTAATTAAGAATAGCTATTTCTAAGTTAAAGAGATTAAAAGGTTAGAGTTAATAAATAACTATAAATAAGTTAAAGTAGGTAAAGGTATATAAGAGTAAGGTTATATATACGTAGGCTAAGCTGTAGTAACGTTTAGTTATAATAAAAATACCTATAATTCTAGAAATATTAGCTACTTAAACCTACCTGTTTAAATAGTATTTATTAAGGTTATAAGAAGAAAAACTCTATATAACAGTAGTTAGTAAGTAGCGTTTACTTAGGCTATTATATAAGTTATACCTATTATTATAGCTTCTACTTTAATATAAGAGACGCTAATAAACTTAACTATTTATAAATACCTAGAGGTTTATAATAGTAAATAACGCGCCTAGGAATAATTTAATAATTAATACTTTATATTAAATAAGATCTACTTTATTAGCCTTATACTATAATCCTAGATACTAAGTACTAATAATAGTAATATTCTATATAATTTCTAGGAGAGGTAAAGACTCTGTATACTAACTATAGTAGAAGTTAGTATAGTTATATATAATTATCTTGTATAGAGTATCTAGTAAACTACTATATTAACTTTATAATACTAGTTACTAAGTTTAAGCCTAATAGAGAGTTTAGGAGAGAGTAAGCTATAAAGTAGTTAAACTGCTTAGAAGACACTAGATCTAAATAGAAATAATTATACCTATAGCCCTATTATAGATAATATAGATTACTTACTATTAATAGAAAAGTATATAGTAAAAAATTAAATATTTACGCTACTTAACTTATTACTATTATAGGCTTCTTTATTATAGAACTTTATAAATAATACTCTACGTAAGTAAAGTATATTATTTTAAGTAATTAGATATATTTATAATATCTTAGTTCTAAGTAGTATTAATATACGTTAGCTGCTAGTACTACGTTATATTAGTATAGATATAGATAAGTATACTAAGCTTAAGGCTATTACTATAGCTGTAGTAGACGTAGTAGTAGTACTGCTTATACTTACAGCTATATATATACCTACTACTATAGTTACTAGCTTATTACTCTAATAACCTAAAACTATTAAGTCTATACTACCTAGTTTACCTATAATAGTTACTATAATTACTATTATAGTAGCTGTAGTTATAGAGCTAGCGCTATATTCTACTAAGTATAGTATAGATTTACGTACAGTATTATATAAGGCTATATAGTATACCTTTCTCTAAGAAGCTGCTCTTAACCTTTAAAGTAAAGTCCTATAGTATTCTAGCTATCTTTTTAGATAGTAATATATAGAGAATATCTTTAGTATATATACTAGTAAATCTTATAAAGTCTATAGTACCTAGCTAACGTTCTAGTAGCTGTAAAAAATGTATAATTAATAAAACTACTACTATACTTATTACTACTTCCTACTATAGTCTTCTTAATAGTAGTAGGCTAAAGTTTTATAACTTTGTATAAGATAAGATCTACTATTCTACTACCTATATTATAAATAATAAATCTATTATTAATTATAAACTAGGTATCTTATACTATACTACGTAAAGTCTTAAAGTATATAATATAGTAGACTCTAGTTCTATTATAATAATAATATCCTTAAGTTAAAGAAATTCTAATAGGTTAAAGCTAGCCTTTTTAACAGCCTAAAGTATATAGTCTTTTGTAATATTAGACTAGACTACTAGTATAGTTACTACTAGAGTAATAGGTAAGAATCTCTAAAGCACTTTTTTATACTTTTTATTAAGATTCTTAATTAAATAAGCCTTTACCTATATAAGGAAATCTATATACTAGTATAAAAGTAATTAATAAAGTTCTCTAAAGCGCTTTTCTATACTTTAAGTTAAAGTACTTAATTAAAAGAGCTTTTAGCTAAACTAGAAGATCTATAATAATATTAACTAGTTACTTACGTACGCTCTAAGTAAATGTAAAGAAAATCTTAGATATATATCCTATCTATTAGCTATTAAGCTAAAGCTCTATCTTCTAAGACACTATATTAAGCCTATAAAGACCTAGTTTATTTATTATATATATCTAAATTATCTGTACTAGTCTTAAACGTATTACTATTATCTTAGTTATCTTTATTACCTATAGTATTCTTTCTTATATTACCTAGGTTAGTAGGTATAAGGTAATTATTTTAAAACAACGTAGCTTTTAATAATATTATACGTTTCTTACTACTAGATTTAATATTAGATAGCTTAAGAATCTCTTTTATATTATTACTACTAGAGTCTTTACATACGTTAAACTAACTATTAGCCTAGCTATATATATTATACGTATTACGTAAGGTCTATTATAACTTTACATTTAGTTATAATTGCCTTTTCTAGACTAATAATTTAAATTTCCCTAAAATTACTATATATTACGTAGTTATTAGGAAATCTATTACTAAGGAGTAGAATATCTCTAATACTAATACATTCTATAAGGTTCTAACCTTTAGCTATATATCTTATAGGAAGACGTTTCTTATATTAGAGATCTGCTAAGCTTTATATATATTACTAATATACTTACTAGCATTTACTAATACGTAGTTAGGTACTCTATATAGCAGTTAAGAACCTAGTTAGGCATCTACTTTATCTATAGAGTAGTTATCTTTAAGCGCCTATAGTAATTTAGCGTCCCTACTAGGCTAGCTATTCTAGGCTAAATATTAATAATCTTATAACCCTTATAATTCTATACTAGAAAGGTACGTAAGTAAAGATTTAATATTATTTAGCTTATCTACGCTAGACTAGGTAGTAGATATAGTAGTTCTATAAAAAACTCCCTACCTTACTAGGAGATAACTAGTAATAGTATTTAACTACTACCTCTTTAATTAGGATAGGTATTTCTATATTAGCTGCCTATTTAGATTATATAAGCTATAACTGCTAAGATATATACCTTTATTAGAGTATAAGGTTATACTATATAGAAGCACTAAGTCCTTAAACCTATTATAAGGTTTAGCCCTAGACTTATTCTTATATACTAAAGGAGTTAGAGATAGCCTTATATATCTAAAAGTAGAGCTTAATATTAGAGAGTATACTTTCTTAGTTTACTTACGTATAAGTAGCATTATTAGTTAACTTAAGTTTAGTAGGTTACTCTACTCTCTAACTATAGCTATCCTGTCTTATATCTCTGCCTTAATATATTCTTTATACCTTCTCTAGTAAACTTTAGTAAAATATTAGATATAGAGCAACCTCTTATATAGACTAATATAATATAATAATTTACTAGCCCTAGACGCCCTTAGTTAATAATTAATTAGAAGACCTAGGACTTCTTTATATAAGTTAGGTAACCTACATATAATTTAGTCTTCTTTCTCTTCTACTAGTCTTCTATATTAGTATAACAAATCTTATATAAGTCTTAGTAAACCTACTCTTTTCTACTTAAGTAGTAGCTTTCTTATAGTTTATCTATATTATCTATAACGCCTATTTAATTAGCTACCTGCTGTTAAAATACTTAGATATAAACAGCTAGTACTATAATACAGTATTTTACATTATTATAAACTACTCTGCTGTAAGGTTATTAAATTTATAAGTGTCTTTTATACACTATTATAAGTTATATACTAAATAAACCTACTACTTCTAATTCTTCTCTTCTTAAGCTATAATAAATTTAAAATAGTTATACTCTAAAATAAAGAGTTCTATATATATAGTAATATAAGC